TTATTATATACATATATACATGTTATTAACATCGAGCTGGGAATTTGAAGCATGAATATTCACGACATTAAAATTGTTGAAAAATAAATCAATAATGAATGGCCTATTCGTTCTTCACTTCATGATAATAAACTATTATTTTCAGCATGCCAACGTATCGTGTGAGCCCGACCAAACTAGGACTTATTCTCCTCGCGTCGGCTAAGCAGCCTGGCCCGGTATACCCTGAATCTACTTGTTTCGCCCTACAAATGTTGAATAATCAGAACAATCTCCATTAAAATAATTCCTCGCAATTCTTCCACCCCACTGTTCCGTCCCTGGTGGAAAAAACTCCTTAAATCCTATTGGAAGAAAAAAGGGTAATTGGAAATTATGACGTTATTGCCGTTGACCCATTATTTCCGGTTCCGGTTACTAGCGCAATGCTGACACGTATGGAAAAATCCAATAGGAAAACCTAGCGAATTCTCTAGAAAATTCTATTGGGATTCTGAAGAAAATCTATCGGATTTCTATGGGATTTCTACTGGAATTCTATTGGAATATTCTATTAGTTTTCTGCGCTGATTCTATTGCATATTTCATACGGAAAAGTCAATAGATTTCGAATTTCTTTCTCCAGAATCCCAATAGAATTTTCTAGATAATTCGCTAGGTTTTCCTATTGGATTTTTCCATACGTGTCAGCATTGCGCTACTAACCTGAATTGGAAATAATGAGTCAACGGCAATAACGTCATCATTTCCAATTACCCTTTTTCCTTCCAATAGGATTTAAGGAGTTTTTTCCACCAGGGTTGTACCGTGTGAGCCCGGTAGTTTATCAATATTTTTTTGCGACGACTCGTTATTAAAAAAACAATCATTTATTTACAAAAAGATTGTACCGGGTGCGCACGGTAATTTTTCAATATTTTTTATGCCGAATTTGTGGTGGGAAAGCAACATTTTTTACAAAAAAATTGTACCGGGTGCGCATGGTAATTTTTAAATATTTTTTTTCGCCGAATTTGTGGTGGAAAAGTAATATTTTTTACAAGAAAATTGTACCGGCGGCACACGGTAGTTTTTCAATATTTTTTATGTCGACTATTTTGTTGAAAAAACAATAATTTATTTACAAGATTGTACCGGGTGCGCACGGTAGTTTTTCAATATTTTTTAATGCCAAATTCTGGTGGAAAAAACAATATTTTATACAAGAAATTTATACCGGGTGGGCTCGGTAGCCTTTCAATATTTTTTTATGACAAATTCTTGTTGAAAAAACTATTTCATACACGAAAATTGTACCGGGTGGGCCCGGTAGGGTTTCAACATTTCATACGACGATTATTTGTTAAAAAAAAACAATAGTTTATTTACAACAAGATTTTACCGGGTACGTCCGGTAGATTTTCAATATTTGTTATGACGACTGTTTATTTTAAAAAAAATTATTTACAAGAAGATTGTACCGGGTGCGCCCGGTAGTTTTTCAATATTTTTTAATGCCAAATTCTGGTTGAAAAAACCATATTTTATACAAGAAAATTATAGTGGATGGGCCCGCTAGTTTTTGAATAAATTTAATGTCGAATTTTGGGTAGAAAAACTATATTTTTACCTAGAAAATTATACCGGGTGCGTCCAGTAGTTTTTCAATGGTTTTTATGACGACTGTTTACTGAAAAACAATAATTCATTTACAAGAACATATTGTACCGGTTGCACCCGGCAGTTTTTCAATATTTTTTTATGCCGAATGTTGAGTAGAACAATAATATGTTCAACGAGAAAATTATACCAGGTGGGTCCGATATTTTTTAAATTTTTTTTTATGGCGACTGTTTGTTCAAAAAACAATAATTTATTCACAAGATGATTGTATCGGGGGCGCACGGTAGTTTTTCAATATTTTTTATGCCAAACTCTGGTTGAAAAAACATTATTTTTTACAAGAAAATTATACCGGGTTAGCCCGGTAGTGTTTCAATATTTCACAGAACGACTGTTTGTTAAAAACAAATAATAATTCATTTCCAAGAACTTTGTGTGCCGGGTGCGCCCGGCAGTTTTTCAATATTTGTTATGGCGACTATTTGTTAAAAAAAGAATTTATTTACAAGAAAATTGCACCGGGTGGGCCCGGTAGTTTTTAAATATTTTTTTACGACAACTGTTCGTTAAAAAAACAATTCATTTACAAGAAGATTATACCGGTTGCGCACCGTACCGGTTCTGCCCGATAGACTGCCTATATTATTGTAGTTGAAAATTTTTAGAGAAAATAATGTTTCCCCAGCAGAAAATTGTACCCGTTTCACCCGGTAGACTGTGGCGTTCATTTACATGAAAGCATTTGTTTGCAAAAAAAAACTATTTTTCTAAAATAAAACCGTGTCGGTCACGCCCGGTAGACTGACTATATCATTGTTGTTGAAAACTTATGGTTTCCTTGGCAGAAAACTGTACCGGTTCCTCCCAGTAGTCTGTCTATATTATTGTTGTTGAAAATTTATAGTTTCCTTGGCAGAAAACCGTACCGGTTCCACCCGGTAGATTGTTGGTTTCATTCTTGACAGCATTTGTTGCAAAAAAAAATATATTAAAAAAAAAAACTGTACCGGTTCCGCGCGGTATACTGTCTATATTATAGTTGTTGAAAATTTATGGTTTCCTGGGCAGAAAACCGTACCGGTTTCACCGGGTAGACTGTGGCTTTCATTCTTATGAAACCATTTGTTGCAAAAAAAGATTTTTTTTTTCAATAAAACCGTACCGGTTCTGCCCGATAGACTGCCTATATTATTGTTGTTGAAAATTTTATTGTTTCCTTGGCAGAACACCGTACCGGTTTCACCCGGTAGACTGTGGCTTACATTTTTATGGAAGCTTTCGATGCAAAAAAAAGATATCTTTCTAAAATAAAACTGTACCGGTTTCGCCCGGTAGACTGCGTATATTATTGTTGTCAAAGATTGTTGGAAAAATAATATTCCCTCGGGAAAAAAGTACCGGTTCCACCCGGTAGACTGCATGTATAAATGTTGTCAAAAATTTGTTGAAAATCTATTATTTTCAAAGAAAACAATTGTAGCCGTTCTCGCCCGATAAACTCTTGCTGCTGTTGCAAAACATTTCTTTTTAATGAAAATTGTTCCGATTGCGTTCGATAGCCACGGAATATTATTGTTGTAATGAATTTGCTCTTCGATCAATATTTCCTTTGAAAAAAAAAAAAAATACCGGGCGCTCCCGGTAGTATTCTCATCGTGTCGTGATTTTCGACGGCTTCAAAACGAAGAAAATCTTTGATTTCAACATACTTTTAATATTCCATCCGCCATCTGCAGGAACAAGGCGATACTATATTTCACTCCGATCGTTAGATGGCACCTCTTCTTACTTCAGCATTCCCCCTCCCTCATTTCCGGTTTGGGATTTTGGCCCTTTGGGATTTTGTCCCCCATCCGCCCGCTGCGCGGACGAGAACGCGCAGTGGGGGAATCTTCAGTGCCATCCGTCATGTGTTATGTATAGCCTTGTGTTTTGTCGTTTATAACATCAACATGTCCCCCGGTGAAAACAAATTTGAAAAGGAAATCTCCAGTTTCAATGGAGTTACACATTAAAATAAAAGCCGTAGACGAGGTAACAAGTGGGACGTCAGTTTCAACAATTGCTGACAATCTCAACGTTCACGAGGCCACTGTCAAGTCGTGGGTGAAACAAAAAGACAAACTTGAGAAATGGAAAAACGAGCTTGAAAATGTTCTTCTTCAATCAAGAAAAAGATTGGTGAAACCAGTGAACATCTTGGTGGATAGAGCACTGTGGTGTTTGATAATAAAAACAATTAAACAGACAAAAGAGCCATTCTAATCATTTCACCCTCTGGATTTCATTTCATTTGACAAGTTGAAGTTATGGTTGCTCCCACTACAGGAAACATGAAACAGACAGATTCCACTCTGTCTCTAGGCCGGCGCACAATAAAAAAGAACAGGGAATTGAGAACAAACATTAGGAACAAGGAATAAAGAATAAATTTCAACATTATGTAATTAATGTTTCAACGCACAATAGAGGAATAGGGAATATAACCAAGGAACAAGTGTTGGAATATAGATATAAAATATTGTTTACCTGCCTCTTCCTCATGGCATTGGATCATACATACCCGACAAAATTTAGTGAAGTGCAAAATAAAATGCAGGCAGATGAGGATAAAAAGCAACATGTTGATGTCAATCAACAGTGTGTAAAGAGGGGGATGAGTTATTGATTGAATTGATTCGATCCTATCCGCATATATGGGATAAAAAAAATTCCAGATCTCGATTTATGATTTGATTCGTTGCTCCACATTCATGAACAGAATTCACAATTTGATTGTTTATTTAGCAGTGATGCAATATTTGAATGTTTATTTGCGAGTGGCGAACAGAATAAATTTTATTGCACATGTCATCTGTGTTTATATTTTTTGATTGTGCGTTGGATTGTTCCCTGTTCCCCACGCTATATTCCCTGTTCCTAATGTCTGTTCTCAATTCCCTGTTCTTTTTGATTGTGCGCCGGCCCTCTCTGTTTCTCTCTTCTCAAGTCACGCCCTTCACGAAAAAGTGGGGGGTCCCAGGCCGTTTCGGTACGCCGAATTCTCAGTCTCAAGGCCAAAATAGGGCGCGTTTCGCAATCGACTTAGTAGCAGTAGCAGTACTGTAACCCTATCTAATTTCGCTTTACTGCAGCTACAGTAGTTGATTCCGAAACGTACCCTAGAGATAGGGAGACTCTACTGTAATGGAGTGGGGGGAGCGCTTGCGGGCCGAAAAATCGATATGAGGGGAAATGCGACTATAACGAGTGTGACTCTAACGGGAGTCTGCTGTACAAACCTGAATTTAAGATTCAACCGTAATTCGAGTCCTGACCAAAATTTAAGTCGCAAGCTGAATTTAAGCTTCCACCGAAATTTAAGCTTCTACCTGAAATTAAGACGCGACCAATTCCAGGAACTGTTCACTTAGTCGGTGGTGTCTCGGCTTTAGCCTGCGCTATAATGCTGGGCCCTAGACTAGGCAGGTACGACCACGGCTACGACGCCCTGCCACTGGGTAGCCCGGTCAACGCCATCCTGGGTCTTTTTGTCCTGTGGTGGGGGTGGCTAGCCTTCAACAGTGGCTCATCGTACGGGGTGACCGGGGAGAAGTGGAAGTACGCGGCAAGAGGGGCCGTTTCCACCATGATGGGCAGCATGGGTGGAGGCCTAGTGGGCCTGGGGTTTAGTCTCGCCAACCCGAAAGGCATCGACATTCTCAGCCAGATCAATGGCATCCTCGGTTCCCTGGTGGCCGTCACAGGGGGGTGCTTTCTCTTCAGGACCTGGGAGGCAGTATTCGTGGGGATGATCGGGGGCTTCCTCACCTGCGTCATGATGCCACTGGTGGACAGGTTGAGGATCGATGATCCTGTGGGAGCTTTTGCTACTCATGGTTGGTTTCATCTTTTATGAATCGCGGATTAACTCGGTGATGAAAGTGTAGTCAGATCGTCACGACCTGAATTTAAGCCACGACCTGATTTTAAACCAATACATGATTTATTTCAATTTTTATAAATTAAGGATTATTTAGGTGACAAGTGATTTTTTGGGCACAATTCCGATTCCTTTGGCGCCATGATTTGACGGTTGTTTCCCGAAGTATTTTACCTCAGGAATCCGGGAAAAATAGTAAAAAAATTCCATCTTGATTAGTTCTCCTGATTTTGACAATTTCACTGATGAAATAATGGCATATTTCGGATTAACTGATGTCAATTCATCAAATAAAAATTGAAAATTTTGATAAAATATTTTTTTCCAATAACAAAAATTTACCAGTTATTCATTTGAAATTTTAATGCCCTTGAACACCATAAAAGTCAGATGAAAATCGATAAAGAAAATGAACTAAAAAGCTAAAAAATGAAAGTTCCTGATATTTATTTTTTCTGAGGGGGTTTAATTATTTGATTCCGTTTTATTGTCTGCTCTCTGAATAATCAATTTTGAATCACTATTTTATCACCTGAGGTTTAGGCGACGTATGTGACTAACGTATCCAGTTTGAAATTTGGCACTCGCTATTGAGGGAGGCGCCACTGTCTATCTAGTAACATTCTCAATAACTGTTTGCCCGCTAGGAATTCAAGTTTAATATTTTCACCGCCCCCGAATCATTTTTAAATGCATTTTGTAGAAAGATGAAGTTTTTAAGATGAAATTTATGTCCCCTGATTTGAACAATTTAGAAAAAAAATTATTTCAACTGATTCCGAATGATTAGGTCAAATCGAAATCAGCAATTCCAAAGAAAATGAAATCATTGGAATCGCGATGGATAAAACTTACATTGGAGAAAAAAAATCCAGACTTTTTTAACGTTACCCAGAATGCACCACGTGGAGGTAAAGTCTGTATCGTATTCCGTGGAGTTAATCATATTATATTTTCAATTCGAATCGATATAGAGAATAAAAAATACAATGCGAATAACTCCGAAATTGTAAATGTATGTGTGTGTGTATGTGTCAGTATAAGTGTATGTAGATGTGTAAGTTTCATCGATTACCGATAGTCATCGATATTGAATTCAGGATCATTAATATACATCATCATGATTATCATCAGATGATGCATCATCAATTAACTCCTGAATCGTTACTTGGCGAAGACGTTTTGGTGGAGGTACAATACCACTCAAATCCTCACTCTACTGTCGGTGCTTCTAACTCTCTCAATTCCATCCCAGTCTGCAGAATCCCATGCACATACCCTGGATAAACTTTCTTGATGTCCACAAGCATCTGCATTATCTGTGATCCCAGATCATCCCGATAATGCTTCTCAAGAAAGTTGTGGCGATAATCATAAAGAGTCATGTATTGATGGAGAAGCGGAAGACGTCGACGACTCTTAATCACTTTCTTAAATCAACGATTTCGACATTCGAAATCGTTGATCGTGTTGGAAGGATTATCCTTCTCCACTAACTCACCTATGCTGTGATTAGTCGTCAAATGTGTGGTACCTTCAGAAAAAATGTGCTCAATTCCATAGTACTGTTTGCCACCATCGGTGCAAATACGTGAAGTACCAGGATGAACAAATATTTTAATATAAGGCCACAAATCTGCCTTGCTCTTCCCATCGACATGGAAAAAACGACAGATTTTGTCCTTCTTACACAATATTCCCAATACCGTTATTGTCATTTGCTCAGTATAACCACCCCGATTGTATTTACGTTTTGTTAAAAACGTCTCATCAATCTGGATCGTTTTTCCATCAGCGCCGAGACAAAAATCAGTATTGGAACAGATTATACTTCAACAACTTCTCTGAGGTAACTGTTATTAATCAACCACAGTACCACAACTCAATGAGGGCTCTTCGTTTTGCTTCCGCCAGTGACTGAGATGAGTGTAAACAGTCATCACATTAACTTTTGTAACAAAACAAATAATTATCGCCAAAACTTCCTTGAGCGACAAATGACACGTATCTCCATCAAAAAACGTACCCTGTGCTGGATTTAAACTCTGCCGACAGTCCTTTGCTCCTTTCTTCTTCGATGCTTTTGAAGAACATCTCCACATCCAACCTAACTTGGATTGTTTATGCTCTTCTACTCGCATCGGTTTACCAGACTTATCACAGGTGGAGGAGGTAGACTCCCTTGAAGGGATTAATCCAACTTGCTCAAAAAACTCCAGAGACTGGGCATTTGTTTGAACAAGCCCTCCAAATGAGGTAAACATAGAAAAATGAGCAAGTTTGGGATGTAATTGAGGATGGGGTTATTGTTCTGACATCACAACACTTTTCAATTTTCACTTCACGAAAACAAAAGACTAATATGCTTCGCTGCCAGACAAACAATAAAGAAGAAACAAAGAACCAGCAAGAAAATTAACATGGCGGCATTGTATTTTTCAAAGTGAACGCAATTCATGAAAAATCCGCTAGATGCTGCTCTGATGGTAACTAAAACTGTAGTCTTAGTCTTCACTCAACCCGCGAAAAGTTGAATTCGAATTCAATGAACATTTTCAAAAATCAATTGAATAATACATTTATCACATAAAAAATAATAGAAATATCTGTGTAAATGAAGGAATAGAACATTTAATTTAAAAATTTATCATAGGTTTTTGAATGTCATTCAAAATATCTAAAAACATTTGAGAAATCTACCGAAATTTCCAGAAACTTCCTTTTTAAGCGGTCTGTAAATTCGCAAATGTCCAAATTTCCCCAAATTCCTAACACATTCTTCAGTTTGTTTATAAATGCCCTAGAGAATCTGCAAACTGTGACCCCCTGTGACTTCCTGCAACCCCCCTCATGCCCCCTGGCTTTTCCTGTTTAAACTCTGAGGACCTGTTCTTTTTTTTGTTTAAATTTTGAGGCTCTCTTTGGCGAAGCCCCCCCCCCCATTCAGGAAAAAAAAATTGATTTTATTCATAAACATAATAGAAAAACTTAATCCTTAGAAATAGATGATAATTTCATGAAAACCGAAGAAAAAATAGATTCATTTCAGTAAAAAAAAAAATGAAAAGTTCTGCGATTTTTTTTTCAAATTTTTCCGTTTTTTCACTCATCAAAATAACTGATTTTTCCCCCCACCCGTAAACCTCCCAATCCCCAACGCCCCAAGCTTGTAAGGCATAAATTGGGAAAATATGAATTTTTCAAATTAAAATATCGAAAATTCAAATAAATAATCAAAATAGAATTTTTTTATTATTTTTCGCGACTTCCTGAAGCAAAATACTTCGGGAAACGACCGTCAAATCGTGGCGCCAAAGGAATCGGAATTGTGCCTTTTTTTGAACAAATGTAATCAGTAAGTAAGGACCTAAATTTCAGTTACAACCTCAATTTAAGCCGCTGCCTAATTTTAATCCCCGACCTTAATTTGATCCGTAAGGTGCATTCAGGTTGCGACCTCAATTCAAGACCCGACAATTTTGTTCTCCGCGACCTGAATTTAACCCTCTACCTGAGTTTAAGCCAATTCTCGTCGTTGATTCCATCTTTCGTAAATTGCGCATTATCTCAGTAATGAGTGATTTTACGAAAAAATGTCATATAACACATTTGTGGGAAATTTTACTCTCTACAAAGAAGGTTTAGAGACATTCGTCGTAAAACAGCTCGTTTTCGAGATAGATGCGAAATCCTGAGAACATTTTGTTTATGATTAGGCATTTCTGGGGCTTGGGGGATCATCTCCATTGGCTTCTTCGCGGACGATCCCCAGCCGCTGGACACGACCAGCGGTCGGAGTGGTCTCTTCAAGGGTGGGGGATGGTATCTCCTTGGAGTTCAGTGCATTACTGTCATCTGTTTGAGCACATGGTCATTCATCACGTCCTTCATTCTCCTCTGGGTGAAGAATTCCAATTTCCCATTCTTCTTTCTTTTATAATTATCTCAATAATCAATGGTTGTAGCAAAAAATGTGTCTTTAACTGTTTTGAACAGAATTAAATTTCCTACAAAAATGTTTCCCTAACATTTTCTCCTACAACCACTCATTACGGAAATAATAAGGATCTTAGCGAGATTGAAGAACTTAATTATCAATTGCCATAATTTTTTTTAAAATATTTGTTGTAGTTTGTTAATTTAATCATTCCCGTTCGAATGCCTCAACACGAGGAGCTTCTTGGGGCTGATCTATTCGAGCATCAGGTGAAGCACACGAAGGTAAATTTAATTACTTTAATTAACTAAAAACAATCATTAAATTGACCAAGAAGTCGTGAAATTAATTTTTTTAATTTTTAGATTGGAGTTAGTAGAGCATTGTCAGCTCTCAGACCGTTCACGAAGCACAGTATGCTTCGGGATTTGCCCTCAGTGGGACTCAACCCTGGCCACGATTCCTATTTAGAAAAATACATAAAAAGAAGAAGATTGAATAAATTATTAACAGCAATGCACATTAAAATGAAGAAGAAAAAAAATCCTGTAGACCTGAGAGGCATTCGGACACCAGCAGAGAATATTAGTGTACTGCCTCCTATGGCCTGGCATAATTAAAAAAATTATAACAATATTTTTTTTAAGATTCCTCACTAAGCATTATAAAATTGTTAAGATAGACAGATAAAAAAATGAACAAAAGAATTGAATAAACAATGCCAGTAATTGACTCTTCACTTTGAAATTTATTAGAAATGTACAAACAGACCCAATGAATTTGTCTTTCGCATACAGGGTTACACGATTAAATGATTCAATCTTGTATACAAATAGTAATACAATTATTTACCCACCTCATTTTCGTTGCCAAATTGACTGCTGAGGACATAATTATTGTACTGTTTATTCCATTTTATAATTTTCCTTAAATTTCGGACGAATTGTAACGGACGTTTTACAGTTTCTCTAGAGAAAGAATCGATAATAAAGCGGAAATAATAATTTTCTCAACAAATTACCTCAATTTTCACAACATTTTTTTCCTTCTCAGTGCAAAAAAAATTCTTAAAATTCAATCATCAAGTTAAAAAAGGAGAACTCGAGGTATTTAATTATTTACATTCAACTGAATTGATCAATCAATCAATGAAAAATGGAATTTCCTTAATTATCTCCCTCAATTGCTATCGATAATTCTACCTTAATCACTTGAATTATTAACTATCTTAAAATGACTGAGATTGATTTCTTCAATAAATACTCAATAAATAATTAAATAATCGACAAATGAATTTAAATAAATGCAGGCGATGAAGATATGTTAATGACTTGACTTATCTACAAAATTGTACTAATTGATTCAATAATTAATGAGTAATAATCAATAGAATTGGACTACAGTGTGAAGGACCTCAAATAAAAAATGATCCATCGATTTTAATTAATTGATAACAATTCAAATCAGTAGTGAAACGATGAGGAAGGAGACAATTCAAAAAATGAACATTAATTCGCGAATATCTCAGAAACTACTGGGTTCATCGAAAAATTCCAGAAGAGCCTTTTTTTGGGAAATTTAATTCTCTGCAAAAAGTGTTACTGACATTTTCTCCTGAAGCCAATAGTTTCCGAGATATCAGAGAGATTAAAAAGCAATATTTTTCATTCTGCCTCGTATTCTCTTCATCATCAATTCCACTACAGAAACATTGAACTCGTGAGCAAGATGAACACAGATTTACCCTATCAATATCATTACTCAATTATCATAATTATCACTAATTTTTTTAATTACTGAACTCACCTCTCGTGGCACTCTTAATGCAGTTTCCCCGAACGTTATTTTATTTTCAACTAATGTAATTATTGGTTGATTTATAACTCCAATTAACTGTAATTAAGTATTTTGTTTTTTTTTTTATAAAATGGCACATGATCCTGATTCAAGATGTTTTTATCCCCGTGGCCAGGGGTGGAGGGATGATTTATTGCAGGCTGTTTGTTGCCCACTGGGCGATTTCCGTGGGAAGTCCCACGTAGTTTTTCACTGCCTCCAAGACTTGCTGAGGGGTCAGGAGGAATTTGAAGTACTGGTATTCTTTTTCTGTCCTTGCTGTTGCATTCACTGGGGCAAGGAGCTCTAAATTCTGGAGAAGAGAAAAAAAAACAAAATTATTGAATTTTATATTTTACATTTTAATTTGTTTTGTCATGAAGAATATCATTTATTTACCTTAATATGTTCAAATGCCTTCATTATCACGGGCCGCTGGACGGTTTGAATTGAGGACGTCTGATTCGCGAATTTAATGTATCGATTCAAGACAGTCTCGAAGTTCAATGGCTCGCCGTCGTAAATTTCAGTCTCATGTTTCATTGCGATAATCTAAAAATGAAGAGCAAAATCAATAGATGCCCGCTAAGCATGCGGAAGCTTCCGAATTCAATAAAAAAATCCAGTTACTGTATTTTTCATGAAATTCGAAAGAAATTAATTTATTCAAGGGAAAAAGATTTGGAAGAATGGATGGAATATTTACCAAACTCATCTCTAGGACAGAAAGTCCCTCCAACATGGCGACTTTGTCATCTCTGGTGAACATTTTACTAGCCTCAACAAAGTCGTTGACCTGGAAAATACAAAAACGTCAATAATTCATGAATAAAATTCCCAAACTCCCACAAATCAATTCACCTCGAGCCTCTGATGCTTTTCATCAAGTGTCCCCACAGCGACAGCCAGAAAATTCCTAAAGCTCCTCTCACTGACATCAATCTGGTACATCCTCTTCAGCAGATTCACCATGGTAACATTATTCACAAGATTCTCCACGTAATCATTCCACATAGCCCCAAACTGTGGATCAATAGTGCAGTCCTCGTAGGTCTCCTCGATCCTGTTGACATTCTCATCATCTGGGATGCTCAACAGATCCTTGAAGAGCTCCAGACGATCGTCAAAAGCTGTTGTGGGTTGCTCACCCCCAGAGTTCTCCCCGGGGAAGAGGAATATCTGCCTGTGGGAGAATCTGGACTTGACCCTCTTCTCCAACAATTCTATTACGTCGAGTCTGCAGGTAATACCGAGGACACAGATGGGCGCTTGTGCTGATTGTGCCACGTCGAAGAGGTTGTAGAGCAGGGTCTGGTTCTGGTGCGCGCAGAAGAGGTCGAACTCGTCGAGAATGAAGATGCAAGGTTTTGTTCGCTTCTTGTCACCTGCAGAAACAATTTTTAAAATCATTCGAGTCGATGAATCCTCGAGGAAAAAATTGAAATAAAAATTCTAGGGGAACCAGGGGGCCTCACACATCATCAGGAAGTGTTTGTAAATTTCCGCCTGGTAAAACAAGAATAATAATCGATGATTGATCAAGAAATATATTTTTATTATTCCCCTAGATGAAGCAATAGTAATTTCAATGGTTTTCTCAAAAAACGATTCGAAAAATCGACATTAATTCGTGAATATCTCGGGGACTGCTGGGTTTATCGAAAAATTTCACAAGACCATTTTTGTGGGAAATTTAAGTCTCCACACAAAGTGTTATCTAACATTTTACCTTTAACCCAATAGTTTCGGAGATATGAGAGAACTTGGAAGGCAATATTCTTCATTTAACTTCATTCTTGTCACCTGATTTCAAGCAATCCAGGAGAAAGGTCAGGTTCTCAGCGAATGTCCCAAAGACCTTGTCCCCCACGACGTTCTCCAGTTGCATCTGCCTCGTGGCGTCCTTTAGAGCAAGACGATCGTCCGTATGAACGAGGCCGTGGAGGTTCACGATGAGAGCATTCTCTTTGAAGGATTTGGAGACCGACAGCTCCTTCAGGACTGAGTTTATCAGGGTCGTCTTGCCACTCCCTCGAGGGCCAATCAACAAAGCTGAATTACTTTCTCCTAAAAATGAAAAAGATCGTATTTATAATTAAACCAAAATCGCCAATCGATTGAGTTTAAGTGAGGACGAAATCAAAAGTGTTGAATTAATTTCGTTGATTCTGTGATATTTCTCTCATCCTCAATTATTCTTTTCGTTTACTATTATTTTCGGGTTTAAGTAAAAACAAAATTAAAAGTGTTGAATTATTTAATTGATTCTGTGATTTTTCTGTCATTATCAATTATTATTCTTGTTTTGTTGCATTAGGCACCAGAAGGAAGTTTACAAACACTTTTTGATGATGTCTTCCTGTTTTTCACGTATAATTAAAACGAAATCGCCAATTGATGGAGTTTAAGTAAAGACAAAATCAAAAGAATTGAATTAATTTAGTTAATTCTGTGACTTTTCTCTCATCATCAATTATTATTGTTGGTTTGTTGCATTAGGCATCAGGACGAAGTTTACAAACACTTTCTGAGGATGTCTTTCTGAATTTCGTGTATAATTGAAACAAAATCGCCAATTGATTGAGTTCAAGTGAAGACAAAATCAAAAGTGTTGATTTAATTTCGTTGATTCTGTGACTTTTCTCTCATCATCAATTGTTGTTTTTTTTTTGTTGCACCAGGCACCAGGAGGAAGTTTACAAACACTGCCTGATGATGGCTGAGGCTTCCTGGTGCCCCCAGAATTTTCATTTGAATTTTTTCCTCGAGGATTCATCGACTCGAATGATTTTAAAAATTGTTTCTGCAGGTGACAAGAAGCGAACTAAACCCTGCATCTTCATTCTCGACGAGTTCGACCTCTTCTGCGCCTACCAGAGCCAGACCCTCCTCTACAACCTCTTCGGCGGGGCACAATCAGCACAAGCGCCCATCTGCGTCCTCGGTATTACCTGCAGACTCGACGGGATAGAATTGTTGGAGAAGAGGGTCAAGTCCAGATTCTCCCACAGGCAGATATTCCTCTTCCCCGGGGAGAACTCTGGGGGTGAGCAACCCACAACAGCTTTTGACGATCGTCTGGAGCTCTTCAAGGATCTGTTGAGCATCCCAGATGATGAGAATGTCAACAGGATCGGAGAGACCTACGAGGACTGCACTATTGATCCACAGTTTTGGGCTATGTGGAATGATTACGTGGAGAATCTTGTGAATAATGTTACCATGGTGAGTCTGCTGAAGAGGATGTGCCAGATTGATGTCAGTGAGAGAAGCTTTAGGAATTTTCTGGCTGTCGATGTGGGGACACTTGATGATAAGCATCGGAGGCTGGAGGTGAATTGATTTATGGGAGTTTGGGGGGAAGGAAGGGGTTTAACAAGAAATGTGACAATCTGTCATTAAAATCCCTAAATCATCCTCACCAGCGTCAACAGTCCTCTTCAACAGCTCCAAGATGTTCTGTCGCTCCTTCCCGTGATGCCGGAACTTCGTCTCGGGGCACAGAATCTTCCTCTTCAGGTACTTCCTCGTCAGCAGGATCATGTTGTCCTGGAAGTCAATCGCCATGTTCTTCTTCTTGCTCATTTTCACAGGTATCCTTCGAGAGGAGTCTCCCAATAAATTTCTTCACTCTTTCCGCAAGTACTGTAGCTCCTGGAAGTGATAAAATCGGTCAGGGGCCTCACATAACCTTTAACCGGACGAAAATAGAACTTCAAACTGGAGTATTGATCCCTCGTCAACTCACTTCACTGATTCTTCAACTATTTCATCCACAAATTGACGACTCGGGGGCTTTAAACCTCGGGGAGATGACTTTTTTGTAGTAATCGACGGTTTGTTTGGGTTCGGAGCAGGCTGAGGAGTCAATTCCACTCCTTTGCTCCGCTTTTGGGCGGTGTTTGGGGTGGGAATTGGGGGTGACAGGAACTGGCGCAACTACAGTACGAATTGTTGACTGCATTATAGATTTCTGGATTTAAAATAATGAATTTGTAAATTAAATAAAAAATTCCAATGGATTTCCAAGATTTTACGTACGCATTTTTTTAAATATTTCATTGAACTTTTTATTAGTTTTTCGCCGATTCTATTGAAAATTTCGCAACTTTAATGTTAATTCTGCACGTTTAGGTTTTTTCAAGAGAAATGGTTAGCAGGAAATATTCTGTAGGGGAGGGTAGGGTAAATGGACACTTTTGACTTTTTTGAAAATATTCATAACTCAGTAACAGATTTATCAATTGAGCTTAGTTTAGGCTCATCATAAAGGGAAAGAAATGTTCTGTACATTGAAAACAAAATTATTGAATTTCACCAACATTTCAAGCGGTCATTAACATTTAAAAAAAACAAGTGTCCATTTTACCCCAACATCCTCTAAACAATTTCTAATACTTGTCGAAGAAGAAATTATTATTTTTATGAAATCAATGATAATTGAGGAAATAGCAAAATTTCATGAGGGATAATAAAACACAAAAAGAAATTATAAAAATAATTTTCAATTTTTTTTAAGGGACTTTCAATAATTTTTTAGTATAAATTGATTGTTTTTGTATTTTTTGTTTGAAAAATAAAATGAATAAAAAACAGTTTTATTTTAACAAGTCGAGTCAATTTTTCTATCTACAATAATGTTCTAAATTTTCCTCTCCAGAATTGTCTCTGGGATGTGCTTTGATCCACACGCCCCCTTTCACCCTCACGGTGACTCGAAATTTCGGTGAAATTTCCTCCCTCCCAGGCGCCACGTCCAGGTGAAATCTTCGTAAAACTGCGCTGATCATCGACTTCATCTCCAGAAGCGCGAATTTGTACCCTGAGAACATTTGTATCGAGTTCAGAATCAACGTTCAGCAGAAATTTTCAATGGAAAAAGCCTGTAAAAAAATTAATGGAATTCGAATTTTCTGCCCAACTTATTCTATTGAGATATTTTCTATAAAAATTTCGCGAGTCAAATTTTTCAATTTTTTTTGTTTGATTTTTTTTAATGAAAAGACGAGAAAAATAGAATGGAAAAAAATGAGAAAATTCATGTCAATTTCTACAGAAAATGTCTCAATAGAAAAAGTTGTATAGAAATATGAAATTCTATTGATTTTTTTCTATGAAATAATATCTATTGGACCTTCAATATAATTTCCAATAGAAGTTCAATAGAAATCCAATAGAATTTTTTAGAGAATTTTTCAGAATTTTAAAAAAAATTTTTTAATTCGCTAGATTTTTCTATGAAATTTTTTTCTTCCTTGCATGACCATCGATTTTTACCGATGCAGTTCCTGGGGCCAGCGCTGAACGGGAGGTAAGCATAGGGATGCCTTTGAGATGAATTTTCCGAGTTGAATCTCTCTGGATTGAAATCGTGAGGATTCGGGTAATGGTGGGGAAGCCTGTGGGTGCTGTACGGCATTATTAATACTCCACAGCCTTTCGGGATGATCTTCTTCCCTGAAAAAAAATCATCAGCTGAATTTTCGGGGAATTCGGATGGATTAGAAAGGACGTTTCACCGTTATTCTAGATAAAAAATTGGTACTTAAGCAGAAATGATAGTTTTCTCAACAAATTACCTCAATTTTCACAACATTTTTTTCCATCTCAGTGCTACAAAACTTCTTAAAACTCAATCATCAAGTTTAAAAAGGGGCACTCGAGGTATTTAATTATTTACATTCAACTAAATTGATCAATCGATCAATGAAAAATGGAATTTCCTTAATTATCTCCCTCGATTGCTAGCGATAATTCTACCTCAATCACTTGAATCAATTCAATAACTAATCAATAATTAATTAAATAATCAATCGACAAATGAATTTAAATAAATGCAGGCGATGAAGATATGTTAATAACTTGATTTATCTACAAAATTGTACTAATTGATTCAATAACTAATGAGTAATAATCAATAGAATTGGACTACAGTGTGAAGAACCTCAAATGAAAAATAATCCATTAATTTTAATTAATTGATAACAATTCGAATCAGTAGTGAAACGATGAAGAAAGAGACAATTCAAAAAATGAACATTAATTCGCGAATATCTCGGAAACTACTGGGTTCATTGAAAAATTCCAAAAAAAGCGTTTTTTTGGGAAATTTAATTCTCTGCAAAAAGTGTTTGTGACATTTTCTCCTGAAGCCAATAGTTTCCGAGATATCAGAGAGATTAGAAAGCAATGTTTTTCATTCCGCCTCGCATTCTCTTCATCATCAATTCCACTACTGAAACATTGAACTCGTGAGCAAGATGAACACAGATTTACCCTATCAATATCATTACTCAAGTATCATAATTATCACTAATTTTTTTAATTACTCAACTCACCTCTCGTGGCACTCTTAATGCAGTTTCCCCGAACGTTATTTTATTTTAAACTAATTTAATTATTGGTTGAGTTATTACTCCAATTAACTGTAATTAAGTATTTTGTTGTGAGACTTTATTTCCCTCACCGATTTTCACGTCTTCCCCGAGGGTCCTAGCGAAGAAAGGAACACTCGGGTACATCCGCAGTGTCTCCTTGACGCACATCTCGAGGCAGCGCATCTCCCGCAGGTCCGCCAGCCCCGGGTCCCTCCGGTCCCCTCCGAAAATCGTCTCCAGCTCCTGATAGCACCTCTCCTGCCACTTTTTATGCTTCGACAGCATGAAGAGCGTCAGGGCTACAGCAGAACCCACCGAGTCCTGTCCCGCCAGCATGAACGTGCAGCACTCGTTCCTCACGTCCTCGTTCGAGAAGTCCTTGTGCTTCCCTTTCGCCTCGATCATCAGCTCGAGGAGAGAAATGCTTTTAGATTTTTCGGAGGATTTGAGGACCTTCTCGCAGGCGAGGGAGAGATCGTCCTTGTGGCTCTGCTCGCGCTTCCCGTGGGAGGTCCTCCGGTAGATCCAGTCCGGGAGGAGCCAGGGATGGGTCAAACGGTAGGAGAAGAGGAGCTGACCCTTCCGGAAGGGCGAGTTCGATATCTCGGATTTGTTCGTGTTCCCTAAAACTGTTTCTGGGAGGTGGAAGAGAGGATGAAAAAATCGGAAAGATGACTTGAGAAATTTGTTCATTTTATAGGAACGGATTGGAGCGAGTTGAGGATGATCTAAAGAGATCAAATAATTTTAAGAAATGTTTGAAAATGCGAGGTGGTGGCGTCGTCATCTTTAAAGCTCCTTGTAGCAGGGGGTATCCACGCAAGATGGCGGCGCCGACACTTGTCGACCAGCTCGTATTTTTGAACATTTCTTAAAATTATTTATCCTCTTCAAATCAACTCTAACTCGTTCCACCCAATTCCTTGAAAGTGAACAAATTCAGAGGAGCTACGATTGACTTTTAATGTCCAGTTAATTTTTTTATTGTAAAATTAAGAGGTCTCGGGGAATGAAGAAATCTGAAAGATGACTTGGAAAATTTGTTCATTTTATATAAATGGATTGGAGCAAGTTGAGGATGATCTGAAGAGATCAAATAATTATAATAAATGTTTGAAAATGCGAGGTGGAGGCGCCGCCATCTTTAAAGCTTCTCGCGGCAGGGGAGGGGGTATCCATGCAAAATGGCAGCGCCGGGACACATGTCGACCACATCGTGTTTTTGAACATATTTTTAAATTATTTAGCCTCTTCAAATCACTTCCAACTCGTTTCACCCAATTCCTTGAAAGCGAATAAATTCAGAGGAGCTATGATTGACTTCTAATGTCCAGTTGATTTTTTGATTGTAAAATTAAGAGGTCTCGGGAGATGGAGAAATCTGAAAGATGACTTGGAAAATTTGTTCATTTTATATAAATGGATTGAAGCGAGTTGAGGATGATCTAAAGAGATCAAATAATTTTAAGAAATGTTTGAAAATGCGAGGTGGTGGCGTCGCCATCTTTAAAGCTCCTTGTGGCAGGGGGTATGCACGCAAGATGGCGGCGCCGACACACTTGTCGACCAGCTCGAATTTTTGAACATTTCTTAAAATTATTTATCCTCTTCAAATCACCTCCAACTCGTTCCAAACAATTCCTTGAAAGTGAACAAATTCAGAGGAGCTACGATTGACTTTTAATGTCCAGTTGATCTTTTGATTGTAAAATTAAGAGGTCTCGGGGAATGAAGAAATGTGAAAGATGACTTGGAAAATTTGTTCATTTTATATAAATGGTTGGAGCAAGTTGAGGACGATCTGAAGAGATCAAATAATTATAATAAATGTTTGAAAATGCGAGGTGGAGGCGCCGCCATCTTTAAAGCTTCTCGCGACAGGGGACGGGGTATCCATGCAAGATGGCCGACGCATGTTAACCACCTCGCATTTTTGAACATTTCTTTAAATTATTCATCCTCATCAGATCACCTTCAACTCGTTCCACCCAGTTCCTAGAAAATGAACAAATTTTTTAAGCCATCTTTCAGATTTTTTCATCACATTAGGCAGTTCAATTACGATAATGATAAATACTTCAACAATTAGTCGAAGAATGTTTCTGGATTGTTTAGCAATTACCATTGAGGATTTCGTAAACAGAATCATTGACGGCACGAGTGATATCGACGCCTAGCTCTCCAGAGCCCTCCAGACACTTGACCAAAGTCTTCGCAGAGCGGTTGAAGGTCCTCACGAATTGCTCAAGAACGTTTACATGGAATATCGGCTGGAGTATCTTGCGATGGGATCTCCATGTTGACACATCACTCGTTATGAGTCCTTTGCCGAGAAAATTATGCAGCAGTTTGTAGAATAGGACTTTGTCCGTGTGCTTGGGACTGCCGAGGACTTGCTGGATATCGTGAGGCTCCAGGAGAACGACGAATGGAAATATTGTTACCCAAAGACGAAAAAAGGAACCGTACGTGGTATACGCGACGTGAGACATTGTTTTAAGTACTAAAAAAATATTAATTAATCTAATTAATCAATTAATTATGATTATATATTCGTTAATTTTAATAATTAATTAGTTAATTATATTAATTAACATACATATTTTTTATAAAAAAAGGTCTTGTGACGAAAAATTTGTTGTCTTTTTTTCACTTTTCCTTTATAAATTTAACTTTTTACTTCTTTACAATTTTTACTTACACTCTTCATCATAAAGATACCCAGTATTCCCTAAAAACGGAACAATCGTCGGTCCATTCAGCGTCAAGACTAATTTGACAGCTCGGAGATAATTTTTCAATCTCCAGATTCCATAAATAATCACCAGAATTACTGGAAAAATCCAGAAATCACTGACGACTGATTCCCACTGCGAAAAAAAAACAAAACAAATCTTCATATCCTCTAATTTATTCTTTGAGAAGGCGAGAGGAACTGCAGATGCGGTCGGAAAAACTCATTTCGATCACGCGCGCGACGGAAAATCAATTCACATCGATTAGGGAATCCGCGCTAAGAGAATCTGACGAGAATTAATTAGTAATAATCGGACGTAGGAAAGTACTTTGGGGTTTTAGTATTTATAAATTTGATTTGCTCACCATGATTATTTATCAATTATTCCGCTAGTTATCGATTTCACGGTAAATTTATGCTTTCAATAATTTATAAACAATTTTGAATTTTGAAAAATGAAATTAATTAATTTTCACCGATTTTTTTATTAAATAATTTGATAAAAAAAGTCAACAACAAATGAGAAACTTTTTTTCACTAGCGGTTAGCAGTAGCGTGCGCCTTCTTTTGCGCGTTACCACCGAGTGATTGAACAATCTGTGATTTTTTCACTCATCGTAATTGAATGTAAACACTCACGGTACATTTTAACAACTGCAAATAAATCCGCGTTGGGAAGAAGTTTGAAAAAACGAATGAAGAGTGAAATATCAAAACTATAATAATTATAATAAACTGGGATTTTTTTCTCCGTGCAATTAATTTATTCGATTCGAAATAATTAATTTTAGACTCGATTCTTTTCCTGTTTTCTCAGCCAATTGAGTTTTCAATTTTTTTTATAATCCATTATTTATTGTCATTGATCGGAGTTGACACTATTGAATTTAGAAATTGTCCACTCGAAAGGAGAAAATGCGTTGAACTGGCCAGAAAGTGAGAGGACAACAATGAAAATGTATTTAAAGAAATAGCCGTTTAATTATTAAGCAGTTTCGAATCGTGTCACGTATGCCGTTCGCGTTTCGATTTCCTTATTGAATTTTTTTTCTCCACTACCCAGGCATTAATGAAATGCTCAAACCGCCCAAGTTGTTGTGAACATGTGTTTCGATTGTGAATGGATTTTTTCTTTTCTACAATTGTTACAGACAATTTGAGAAAACAAAAAATAAATAAAAAAACAACAAAATTGTTTTGTTTTCTACAATTGTCTGTAACAATTGTAGAAAACAAAAAATCTTTATTAATTAGGCCTAAAAGTAGTTTTAACAAAATTAGTTTCAACTTTTGTTTCATCACATCGGGATTTACATTTCAGTAGCGAAGCGGATTTCCGTGGAATTTCTCCGAATCTAAAGGAGAAAATGACATTTTCGTACTAACCTTTTTTATAGAGCGAATTGAGGGCTACAAAAAAGGTCATGATAAAAATTTCGCTGTCTTCCTTAAATTCCGAAATATTCAAAGAAAACCAACCCTTGAACGAAATTGCCTCAAACCATTGCACCTCTTCACTATCGAATTGCAATTAAAATGTGAAGATCACAATTTCTAAGGACAATGTCTTCAACCCATCCCCACTCCAACCGTTCCAATCCTTACATTCGAGAGCCTGAATCCCTTGACCATATCCTCACTACCTCCTCTCGATTTGATTCTCTTCGTTTTGAATACTTCAATGACGCTCTTTTCCTGCCCACTTCACTGAGTGCACTCCTTGACTCTTCCGCTACCTCGGCCCTTAGAAAATTCTATAATTTTGTATTAGAGCTTTATTTCAGAACTTTATTAAACGACTGTAACTTCGACATTAAACAAATGAATAATGATCGCAATGAATGGATGGGAAAAATAAATAAATAGAAGTCATCGTTGAATCATTGGAATAAACCCATAGATTAACGAATCTACTGAATTTCTCAATGAGTTCCATGAATCCATGTCTTTTCAACTACGCTATTTCAATTACCGATTGTTCAACTAATACTTTTTCAACTAACGATATTTCAACCACGACATTTTAACTGCTCAACGTTAAATACACATCAGTGAGATGAGATTCCTAGAAAATCTATCTTTAAATCTCTTGAAACGTCAACAATTCAAACAAAATATTTGTGCGGTTTGTATGATATTAATTGATGTATTAGTTCAATAATTAAACTGAGTTGGATTACACTCTGCGTTAAAAAGCAAAGCATAAAAAAAAGAGAAATTTCAGCTAATTAAAAAAAAAGAAAGTTTACTAAAAATCAGTTGATATGTCGTAGTTCAAGTTGATCAGTTCAAATAACACAAGTTGAAATATCGCAGTTAAAATGTCGTAGTTGAAAATTTCAGTTGAAATGTCGTAGTTGAAAAGACATGCTACCAGTTCCATATAACCCATCATTTCGATTTTTCAACTGAGGTATTAGCATTCATTTTCTCACTTTTTTCAAATACTTTTGAGAGTTCTGGATAGCCCGTCGCTGGAATCATCGGAATAAACTCCCAGATCATTAAATATGTTGAATTTCTCCATGAGTTCTATATAACCCGTCATTTTGATTTTTCTACTAAGGTATTAGCATTAATTTTTTCACTTTTTTCAAATACTTTTAAGAGTCCTGGATAGCCCGTCGCTTGAATCATCGGAATAAACTCCCAGATAATCGAATCTACTCAATTTCTCAATGAGTTCCATATAACCCGTCGTGTTGCAATTCTGTTCATTTGGAAATTCATTTTTTGCACAATATTCGTGTAGAATGCTTGGAATAAATGAATACCCCCTCTCATCCCCTGAAGTCTGAATCGAGTGACAATTGAATGATGTATTGATTACGATGGTAGGATCAGTCTTTTTTTGGATTTGTTTGATTCTTTCTCTCTTGCAGTCACAAATGAAACCACCCAATTAAATAAAACTCTCTTATCCACTACAATGTCTTATGAATAATTAAATAACTGAATAATTAAATTCAAAAGCTCTATTAATTCTCCCAATCCAGATTTTACAATGATTATTGTATAAAAGTTTCATTCATCATCGTACAAATAATACAACAAGATTAACTCATTTTATTCCTCTTAAAAATCAACTCTCCACACGTTCATTCAATTAAAAACAATCTAGTCAATCTAATCTATAGAAACAACCGTAATGCTAGTAACTTCAGATTCTAAAAATCAAGAATAAGTTTAAAAAATTGATAGCAAAAATTCTAGGACTCTCTGGATCGTTTGCTCTCGCGTCTGTTTCTCCTGTCGTTATCGGATTCTTGCATTCGTCGTTTCCTCTCGTATCTGTCACGATCCCTGTGGTTGTCACTTCTCTCTCTTTCGTATCGATCTCTCGAGTGTCGCTCGAAATCTCTCCTCTCGTCTCGGTAGAGTCTCTCGTTCTCCCCTCGATGCGGTTTATCGTTCTCCAGTCGATGAGATTTTTCAACTTCCACTCGAATTCTACTGGATTTATCACGCTCTTTCGAGTCGTTTTCAGTCTCACTTGAGTCTCTTCTACTCCTTTTGGGCTTTCGTTTCTTGAGACGTTTTTTTTCGTCCTCAGCACTGGAACTGTTTTCCGAGGAGGAGTCACTGCTGCTAGTGCCACTGCTACTGGAACTGCTGGAGAAACTCTCTTGGGATTTTGATTTTCTCTTCTTTCGTTTCTTCTTTTTCTCCTCCTTCTTTAGTTTTCGACGTTTCGCTTCTCTTCTTTTCTTCCTCTCCATTTTTTCCAATTTTCTGAAAAAAAGCATTTGACGATTAATCAGGGACGAAAGAATTTCAAAGATAATTCTAGCACTTTCTCCGGGAAATTTTATTTAGTTTCTGTCTCTTCTTATAATTCTATTAGAATTCTTTAAGAATTCTATCGGACTTCTACTAAAATCCGATCAGCATATGCTATTAAGAATTATTTAATTTTCACATGCGCTTTTCAATGTACATTTGTTATCAGAAAAAAGTATATAGATGTAGATTTTTCCGTATGACTCACTCTATCGGCATTATTTCTATAAGAATTCTTGAATAAGAATTTTCCAAATTTTTTGCCTGGATTTTGTTATAAAAGACAAGTGAAAATGCATCTGAAAAAAACTTGAAAAATTCATGCCCAAAAATTTATATAGAAAAAACAAAATCAATTGACTTTTTTGTATCAAATATTTCTTAACAAACTGACAGCATAAAATTGCAGTCTTCAATAAAATTGACGGGAAAAGAAAGATTTTTAATAGAATTCAATAGAATTTCTTACCGAAAACACTAGATTTTTCTGTTAAAATGTCTTTATACGTGATATCTTATTAGAGGGACACTTAATTCCATCAATATAATTCCATAATTCGATGAAATATTATCTTATTCAAGTTTGAATTTTTTAAAATTAAAATAAAACAATTTTTTGTTGCTTCACACAACAAAAATTACTTGTCCAATCAAGACAATTAATACAATATTAACAATTAATTGTTAATGGTCGTTTAATTAAGATTATTTGTTTATTTATTTCCTTTTCATTAATTGTTTCAATTATTGCAATGTTTGCGTAACATAATTAACATAATTTGTCGATTAACAACATGTGAAAATGGAATTATGATATTTTTTAGTTCCAACTCACTTCAATAATTTTTTCTTCTCCTTGCGCGTCAGAGAATTGAGAAACTCCTCCTCAGTGGGTTCATCATCCCCGGATACCATCAACTCCTCATGCTGAGGCACTCGGAGATGCTGTTGGGCAGTCAGGGCTGATCTCTTCAATGCCAAACCGTCGTCCTTCATCTGTTGCACCAGGGTCAGAGCATCTGGGGCTTCTTTCGAGTTCGAGGTGCTCGTGGTTGTGCTATTTGGCTGGATAACTGCGCTCATTGCTTGACTGTACAGTGGACATTCCTTATCTGAAATTGAATGTCAATCAATAATTCAACCTTTGGGTGATCTTCACAGGGGCATGAATTAAGGTGTTTCGTGTGTAGATCACCGGGGGGTAAAACGGAATGAGAGTCTTATTATTTTCGAGCCCTGATTCAATCGCTGAGCACGAAATTTTCCAATTTTCAAGTAACTATTTAAGTGTGCATTTGAACATCTTTTGACTATTGATTTTATTTATCAGATTGATTGATTTTTCTCTCATCACCTTCGGGTGTCAAATAATTTTTATTGGAGTTTACTAATTACTGAAATAATATTAAAATGCGTCTCGAGTTGGTAAACCTGTCGAGTGTTTTCTCTCTCTCTTTCCCTTTCGAATTCGACATTCGAATCACGCGCCTACGCGTGAGGGCGTAATTGTCCCGAAACTCATAATTTTCCGAATTATTTGTTCAAATAACTTTCTTATGAAATCTGAAAAAAATCTGAAACTTATACGTGTTCTCAAGGAAGATTTGATTTATCACCCACTAGTTTTCCCTCAATAGTTCATTATTTTTTTGGATGCCATGGAAATTTCCCTAATTGAGAGTGGGTTAACCTCAGAGGTTATAGCTGGAGGGCTTACAAAAACATCCAAATTTCATTATTTTTTTTCTTAAGACTGAGATCTGGAAAAAAATATTCAAAAATGCTCAATGATGCAGTATACTCAGACATTTCTTCCATCAAATTTCGCATTTTTTTCATTATTTTGACTTTTCACACGAAATATCTTAATTGACCCAGTTATTGCTGATTATATTCAAATCTAGGGAAGATGAAGGAAATTTTATGGACGAAAATAGACTTTGCACTAAATAATCTCACGTAATGTCATCCTGAAATAAATGTGGTAAAAAAAACAATTGCTGAGAAAATTATTCTTGTGGTTTTAAATTTTCTAGAGAAAATAGCTTTTCATTTTTTCCCGTCAAACGTCTCATTCAATAGATAGTAAAGAAATAAATGAACAGATGAATGAATAAATAATAAATAAATAAATAAACTTCTCATTCCCTAGATGTGAGAGAATTGTCTCCACTCCTTCATCACTGGAATCACTCATTTGTCAATGGATATTCACCTGTATTAATGTGCCCCCACTTATGGCACTTTATGCACCTGACATTTCTCACTTGAATTCCAAAAGGCTGATCCCTTATTTCACTGTCACCCTTGCAGTAGCTCTCCCTGGGTGCATTGTACTTCCTCTGCCACTCGAACTTATACTCCGGCTCATTATCCTCCTTCTCACGTTCCTTCTTGGCCCCCGGTGGTGGCTCGTACATAAAATTTACGCTCAGTTTGTCTTTACTTTCTTTACTCAAAATAGCTCTGCAAGAAGGAGAACTCTATTAACATAATTCTGATATTAATTGAATATTTTTTCGAGTATTTCTAAGTCAGGGACAAATTCATGGATTGAGGTGAAAAAAGGCGAGATAAAAATAAATAGAAATGAACAAGTAAATAATAACGTCGACTGGACCATATTCTAGAGCTCTGCCACAGACGCATTCCTAATATCAAAACCCGATACAAATACCCGCAACAAACCCTACTAGAAAGCCTGAAAGCCTGAAAGCCAGAATACGGTAACGACGCTTAGGAAGGAACAATTCTCTCCCAAATAACACTACTTCATAGCAATAGTTACAATAATAGCTCTCTATTTTCTTCATCATCACCACATTCTCGAAACTGTTTCACGCTCATCTCATCCAAGACAATGTCAAACATATTATTTTTCCATCTTAAGCATATAATGCTAACAACCAATTGAATACTGAATTACTTATTTTTATCTTTTCGCTTATTCTCTGCGTTTTACACCCACAACATTGTACATATGTACCTTGTAAATACCAGGCTGAAGGCCCTCGGACAATGGCCAGTCGCAAGTTTCTTGCGACGAATTCCGTTAAAAATAAAAATAATAAAATCAACGTGTTGAATCATCAATATCTCTCGACCAAATGATGCGATTCTAATAAATCCAGTATCATATTGAAGACGTTTCTTCAAGCGTATTTCTTGCATTTTTTCATATGCAATCCTCACAAATCTCATTTTGAAGCCTGAAGAAAAGTCTTCAAAATGAGATTTGTGAGGATCGCATATAAAAATATAGGGGAGAATTGGGCAAAGAAAAACAAATTATCCTTAAAATACATAAAATATATTCTCGATTCTGTCAGGTACTTTTTTTAGGCTATTTTACGTAAATGGCGCAATTGTTTACTTGAAAAAAAAAATGATATTAACTGTGTAATTGTTATTGCACACGTTTTTCTAAAAATTTTGAAAAAAAACCTCCGTAGCACAAAAATTGGAGGCCCTCGACTATTTTTAACATTTTAAGCGTCTCTGGGGCAAACGAACAATAAACAATTTTTTTTTCACTAGTTATTCATTTTCAATTTTTATTTCTTTCCTTTAAACTTCTCATTCTAGTAGTCTCACTCATAGTAGTCTCCGCTTAAATCATCAATAGCTTCTGAAAAAATAACTTCGAAATGAGAAAAAATCGTCGAATTATACTCGGTCAATGTCGAGTTGACGGTCAATATTGAGTTTGCACGCGAAACGGTGTGCAAATGATTCTACGGATGATTTTCCAATCAGGGGAGACTCCTAGACCCCACTGGAGAATATTGGTATAGGGTAAGCTACTCAGTAGATGGACACTGCCCTATAGATGGACGAGCTACTTTTGGATAGGAAATTACACAAAAAAATACTGAAATGTGAATTGTTGCTTTGAATTTTCACTAACTGTTGTGATTCTTCACCCCTGAGTGACGACTTTTTTTCGATCAACTTTTTTTTTCTATTGCTAAAAAACAAACGTCCAACTACTGGGCAGTTTATTGGAATTTACAAAATCACTCAATTGTTTTCTTCTCTACTGCGTCCGTACATTCCCAATAATTTTTTCTTTCCCAGTATTTTTTTTTTACGAGCGGTTTATATACATGTGGGGCCTGTGTCCCTTACATACACAAATTTCAAGAACAACAGACCCTTGTCCGACACATGGTGACAAGGGAAAACCATGGAGGCCAGAGGGCAAAGGAGCACTGCAGTTTCTCTCTAAGCAGTCAGTCTCTCAAGGAGAAGAGGCGTGAAGACCTCTAAAATAAGCAGTTCAGTTTTACCTAACTCTCTGTGTTTCATTGACTTTCATCCTGATCAATCCCATAATTACAATACAGTTTACCCTAACTCTGGTTTTCAACTCTGAAACCCGAGTTCAAAATTACAGTTTATAACAGCGGTGTCAGACAAGATGTGAGTGAGAATCTACCGTGAAACCACGAAAAAATTTACCGTGAAGCGTGCGAATAGACACTGCCTAAGTTGTCAGCCTCGAATTGGAGGCATTTCCATTTGAACAATTTTGTTTTTGTTTCAAAAGTTATATTCATGTTACAAATTTTTCTCTCAAGAGACAATGAAATAATAAAAAAATAAAAAACGAAAAGAGACACTGAAATCGAGATTTCGTGTAAAATGGAAAAAGCCCTCCTGGTTATGAACATAACCTAAACCCCTGAGCCACTCACTTGTTATTATGCAGATCCTGCTCCTTCTCGTACTGCACCCTCAGCTCCTCCTGCTTCTTCTTATAGGCCTCAGCCTGCTGCTCAGCCATCCATACCTACGACAATCATCAAAAAATCAATTATCCCATTCACAACATCCCCAAAAACCCCAATGACGCCGGAAAAAACGTCGAAAAAAACAAAAAAATTACTCTTTTCAAGTTGTCCCGAGAGGCCGGATGGAAGAATTTTTTGCACATGTAATTGTTGAAGCCCTTCCCCATTTTTCAAATAATTTTTTTCAACAAATTTTTTTAGTCACCAAAAAAAATGCGGCTGTTTTAATTTAGCTCCGAACGACACTGGCAATCACGCGAAACTGCCCCCCTTCTTTTTTTCTACTCGAATCGACTGGACAATTGAATAAAAATAATGTGTCATTTAAAAAATCGATTTTTGGAGAAAAAAAAAGTTTCGAGGGCCCGAGATAAAATGAGAAATGAATTTTAGACGGGTTGAGAGGCTTTTTTTAACGAAAAAAAATGAAAAAAACTGCAAACTTGACTAATGAGGAGGAGAAAGAAAATAAATTTTGACCTACCTAACCTGATGTGGGTCAACAGCTGATCTGCGGCGGGTGGAGGGGGGAGGGACACCTGCGCTTGATTTCGGAGTGACAGTTGGTGCTTGTGGTTGTGGTGCTGCGATTTGATTGTTTGTTTACGATTGATTGATTGATGGAGTGAAGATGAAGATAAATGAGAAGAATATGGTGGCGTTCGCCATCTCGGCGACGCCTGTGGACAGGGAGGGATGGTTGAGCAAGCGGGGAGAGGTCAACAGGGGGTACCAGAGGCGGTGGTTCGTCCTGAAGGGGAACATCCTCTTCTACTTCGATCGCCGAGGGGACAAGGAGCCCGTGGGGATGATTGTCCTGGAGGGGTGCACCATCGAACTGGCGGAGGCTGAGGAGCAGTTCGGCTTCAAGATCGTTTTTCATGGGCCTAACAACAGGAGCTACGTCCTGGGAGCTGAATCTCAGGTACACAGAGAGAAATATTCGGTTGGCCGAAAAAATGACCTGTGGAAAAAATGACTTTTGAAAAAATAGCCAGCAAAAAAATGGCCGATGAAAAAATGACCGAATTAAATGAACTGAATAGAACGTTCTTGAAAGATAGTGGATGGTGGTACACTGTTGTAGAATTTGGCTGAATTTTCTGGACAAAGACCTTGAATTTAATTTAAGGCGAAAAAGTTAATGGAATTTCAAGTTTCTTTGGAAATTCGAGTAAAATTCAGATCTTTTAGCGACAGGAAGATGGAAATTCCACAACTTACATGAACTTTTTAGTGAAAATGAATATTCATTGCCAAATTACCCACGGCGGTGGCTGTGTGGTTAGAGTGTGGGATTGGCATGCGGTAGACACGGGTTCGATTCCCGGCTGGGGGGGGCCAAAATTTGTGACACTCTAAATCTCACAGTTTCATTGTCGAGTGGAAGTTTCGCAAGAGACGACTGTACCTGGGCAGGGTTTCCCTCAAATGAGGTTTTCTCTTGTCCTTCGGCGAATGCGGTACAGGGGTTTGGGGGGTGGGAGGGGAGCAAATCGTAAAGACCCGAAAGGGTATACGAGAAGAAAAAAAATTCATTGCCAAATTCGCGCAATGATTGAATGGAATTTTAATTCCCACGGATTTTTCTATAAAATTATCGATTTTTAATGACAAAATTCCTTGAAACTTCAATGGAAATCTGACTTGTAACGGTGGGAGAGTGGCTGGATGATTATTGTCGGTAAAGCTGCCTGTTTTTTGATTTTTTTTCCGTTCTGAACCAGCGAGAATTTAAATAGTGGATTCCGCTAACTGATGTCGGTGTTTATTCTGATTGAATGAATACAGTAGCGAAGTGGTAAAAGGAAATAAGTCAGTTTTGACTATTGACCAGTTTTCAATCAATATCTCGGATATTTCTGAAAGCTGCAGCAACCGTAGTTCTTTTTCGAAGCCTCAAATAAATTATAAGAAAAATGCTTAATATTGATCTCTAATGTTTTTTGTTCTCATTTTTCTTCATTTTTTCAAAATGAGGTCATTTTTTCTGAGGTAATTTTTTCCAAGTCATTTTTTCATCGCTCATTTTTTCATAAATTCAAATATTCAATTAAAATTAGGGGCGGGTGGGGTAAAACGGACATTTTTGAAAAATTTTTTTTTAAATGTTAATGAGGAGTTGAAATGTTGATAAAATTTAATAATTTTTTTAAATACAGAACAATTATTTCCCTTTCTGACGAGCCTAAACTGAGCTCAATTGATAAATTTGTTTCTGCGTTATGAATAATTTAAAAAAAGTCTAAAGTGTCCATTTTACCCCACCCTCCCCTAAATTGATCAATTGAGCTCAGTTTAAGCTCGTCACAAAGGGAAAGAATTGTTCTTTATATTGAAAAAAAAAATTATTGAATTTGATCAACATTTCAACCCCTCATTAACATTTGAAAAAAAGTCAAGTGTCCGTTTTACCCCAACCTCCCCTACCTATGTTTTATGTAATTCCGGAGCGAAATGTGGTTGGAGGAAATTTTACGGAACTGTCACGGAATTTTTCCGGAGCGTTCCGTAATTTTTATCTGAATCTCCTGTGAAAAATTACGATACCGTCACTTAAGGATGTACTACACCCTTTCGGCCAAAAATTCACGTTTTTTCATTTTTCTGGCAAATTATTGATCGGATTGACGCGAAATGATATACCATTTTTGCGGTCTATCATTATTGACTGACTCACGAAGTTTCATGTTAGCGCAATCATTTTCCTGCATTTTTTCTGAAGTTTTGTAAATTTTCGAAAAGTTTTAGAAAAAACGCAGGAAAATAATTGCACGATCATGAAATTTCGTGAGTCGTTAGGTAATGATAAAACGCAAAAACAGTATATTTTTTCACGTTCATCCGATCAACAATTTACAAGAAAAATTCAAAAGGCGTGAATTTTGGGCGAAAAGGCTGTAATACATCCTTAAGATCTACTGAGAATAATTATCGTTTCCAGGACTCGATGGAGCAGTGGATGAAAGCCCTAGCCTGCGCGAGCTACGACTACATGAAACTCATGGTAGCTGAGTTGCAAAGACAACTGGACGCAGCTGAGGAAGAGGCAGCCCAACCTGAAGAGGCTCAAGCCCCAGACCTCCCAAGGGCACCACCTAGAACCCGTCACAATCCCTTCAACAGACCCGACTCGTCCTACCAGAGGTCTCAAAGCGTGAGATCAGCCCCAGGGAGGACAGAAAACATACCTAGAACTAAAGTAACATTTAAGGAGCTGCACACAGCGTATGGTAGACGAATCCTAGCTGATATCAATGAGTGGAGATATGCCAAGAGAAATGCCGAAGCTCCACTTATAACGCTCTAAATCATTAAAACAAGCCAAATCAATTTTGCCCAGTTTAAAGTTCAATTATTGCTAAATACTTTGAAATCTAAGAAAGACATTTATGAAAAAAAAGCTGCAATAAAATTCCGCTCTCTCTTCTTTTTTACCTCCCTAACAATCCACAAATAACATGTAATGAATAAATTCTCCAAAGATTGATTGTAATACTCCACAACATAAATAAAAAAAAAATAAATTATTTTATTAATCAATAATACAATCTCCCTGTCATTGTCCGCCTCAATACTCGCATTTAAACGCTTGCATTGAAGACACAAGTAAAAGTCTCGCCTTGTTCTCCTCCTGAGGCCCCTTCGGTTGGATCTGCAGCTTCTGCTTGACCGCCTGACTCAGAATAACTAGAACAGAGTCCCTCACGTCCTCCGATATCTTGATATGGATGAGTAATTTATTCTCAATGGGAACGTAAAAAGAAGAGTCCCTCTGTGCTGCTAATGGCTCCTCAATCCCATCAGGATCTCGTTCAGGAAAACAAAACTTCAACATCGTATTGAAGAACTTCGTCAGGCCAATGGTCAAGGGTACGACATTGATCTCAAAATGTTCCTCCACAGAAATCCCAGTAACAGATGCCTTCTCCCTGCAGAAAACTAAAGAAGTAGGTTCGTCATTCTGACGAGCCCCAGCCCCAGCAAATACCCAACAGAATCATCAATTTTACTAGTCTGTCTGTGCAAAATAAAATACTCAATTTCCTCATTTGAACTTGAAGACACTCTTCTTCCTAGCATCACCAGGGTGATGTCTTGCCCCAAGTAAAAGCCTCGCCTTGTCCTCCTCCTGAGGTGTCGTCTCCTCCTGAGGCCCCCTCGGTTTGATCTGCAGCTTCTGCTTGATCGCCTGACTCAGAATAACCCTCCTTGAGTCACTCTTCATAGCCAGAAGAAGGTCTAGCCACGTCCAAGTGACATTGTGATACTCCAGTGTCGGTATGACCAGAGCAAAGTCCCTCACGTCCTCCAGATTCTTCTCCTTATTCCCCTTGTAGGAAACCGTCACAGGTACCTCCGGTATCTTGATATAGATGAACAATTTATTCTTATCGGCTCGTTCCTTCATCTTCTCCACGTCATCACGTCTCTCAATGGGAACGTAAAAAGAGGAGTCCCTCTGTGGTGCTGGTGGCTCTTCAATCCCGTCAGGATCTCGCTCAGGAAAACAAAACTTCAACATCGTGTTGAAAAACTTCTTCGTCAGGCCAATGGTCAAGGGTACGACGTTAATCTCAAAATGTTCCTTGACAGAAATCCCAGCAACAGGTGCCTTCTCCCTGCAGAAAACCCTGAGTGCCCTCTGCCTGTCCACCGGCATATTGCTCTGCAGCTCAGTTGGCACCAGCACCTCAGTATAAACCTGATTAGGAAGTAGATTCGTCATCCTGACGTACCCCAGCTCCAGTAAATGCTCCACCGAATCATCAGTTTTACTGGTCTTCGTGTACAAAAAATTGGTGAGGATGAGGTCAGCAATGCCCAACTGTCCATCAGCATCAGTGAGCCTCCACTGGGCGTGCTTGAAGCAGATCTCAGCAGCTCTCGCAACAGCGGCAGGCTTGTCCTTGAGGCTCGTGGAGGCAGCAGCTGGGGCTGTCGTCTCCTTGTAACAACTCAGCATGACATCAAGCTCCTCTGCCTTGGCCCCCAACGACTCCTTGCACTCAAAGACCCTGGCCTCAAGCTTCTCCATGTCTGCCTGCAACTCCGGACTGGACTCCTCAGCAAGGGCCTTCTGCACCAGGTAAGTCTCCCTCTCCAGTCTCCTGAGCTTCGCCACCAGTCCCCTGACTGTGTTCTGCAGCTGCTGAATAGGCCTCTTCTGGTCCTCAACCGAGTGCAACTGCAGCTGAAACCTCATCCTCTGGAGTCTCTCCATGGCCTCCTTCCTTCTCGGCTCGACGTACAGCAAGAGATTATTAACGACATCCAGCAGCATGGCATACTGCAGTGAATTGGTGCAAACATCCAAGTCGTGATGCATGAGGGTGAAAGCGTCAGCAGCCGAGAGGTCCTTCCTCTCCCAGGGGGTCACCTCCTCAGGAGGTGGTGGTGGCATCTGCTCGAGTTCGACTTCGTCCAACGCCTGGCCATAGCCAACGTAACAGAACTCGCACTTGCACCTGGAAACAATCCTCTGGAGCTGGTGCTGCAGCCCCCCACCACCACCAACAGTCTGACTGACAACCCCTCCGACACTCTGCCCTGAGCCAACTAAAGCCGGAACATCAGGCAGTCCTGCAACCGTCACCGAGTCCTTCTCCTGAATGTTGTCCAGGGTCAGCCACATGATGTTGTTGTCATCGATGTTGTCATCAATGTTAGCGGAGACTGTTGCGTAGTACTGCATGCACTCCAGTGAGCCCACCCAGGTGGTTTTGGAAACGAGAGTCCTCTCCCGCCAGACGGGACGGTGCACTCTCTGAAGGATCTCTGCCTTGGCAGCTGAGAGGATCACATAGCCCTTCGTCTCGATCCCCTTCAGCAACACCTGGGAATTCACCAGGGCTATCAGCCAGTTCTTGTGAAGGACGTCGTCCTGATTGCAGGCGGCGAGCCCCCGTAGCTGTTGTCCCCTCGTCTGAACAGACAAATCATCGCTGAAGGCTACAGGCTTATTGGCCGCCTCAGCTATCAATCGCTGAAGCATCCCCGCAGCTTCGCTCTGGTGACTTTTCACCACTGACGACTCAGCGCTGGGCTCCACTGACGACGTAGAAGCTATACTTGATGATGTGCTGGTGCTCGTGGTCGTCGTCGTCGTAGGAGTTGTCGTTGTACTTGTATTTGTGCTTGTGGTTCCTGAGGTGGTAACAGCTGTCGTGTTTATCACAGCCTCGATGGATCTCGTCCTGTTCTTCTGAGGGGTTTTCTCGCTCATGTGGAAGCCCTTCAATGCCGCCGTCGACAGGTTCCTCTTCAGCTGTTGGGTCTTGATGAAGGAGTCGAATAGGGCGAAGGCAACGTCTCGATTGGTCTTCGTCCATGCGCCTTTCAGGTCGTGGACAACTAGTCGGTGGGTCGGGGTGTCCCCACTGATACCAGCAACTAGGGCCTCCCTGCCGTAGCTGACTCTGGTCACGCTTAAGCAGTAGCACTTCTCCACTGGTTGACGGAGCGACGCCGACTCCTCTTCCTCTTGGAGGGCGCTCTTCAGCCAGATCTCGGCGTCACTCAACTCGCAGTTCATGTAGATTATCGACCACTCGGCTCTCGGTCGGTGGATCAATCCGTCGTCTATTGGGTAGAGGGAGAGGTTGTGCTCTGAGGAGCATGCGACCCGTCCCCCTGTGACTTCGAAGCCCCTTTGCATGGCAAAAGACATCCAGTAGCTGACGTGAAACTGGTGGAAGGCTAGCGTCAATCTCACTTTCTTGTAATGACGACTCAACTGCTTCTTCCGAGGTCTGACATTTCGGAAGAGGGGGCCCTTTCTTGTGGGCCTCGTCGCCCCCGACAGAATGAACTTGAGGTTCTCGAACCATCTCAGAGTGCTGCCGTATAGAACAGCTGTTGGAGCGGGGGTCACGACCGTTGGAGACCCAGTCGGCCTCGTCTCCAAGGACAGACTGACGTTTATATTCTGGGACCGGAAGGCCCTGAAGGAGTCGTGCTCCTGGTTGCTGGAGTACTCTGGGAGTCTGTCCGGGGCACAGGGGACGGCTGCGTGATGATCCCGGGGGTCCCCCAGACAGACCCAAGCTAGTTTGATAGATAATCTGACGTTGGGGAGGTGCAGCAAACGACAGTCATCGTATTTGCTGGCTGTTCTAACGTAGACATCGAGGTCGCCCTTAATAATGATTTTACCGAGGGTCCAGTCGAGCTCTAGCCCTGACCAGGTCAACTCCATTTCCTCGGTTGTATTGTAAGGGTCTAGGGACGCGTGCAGCAGGACTGTTAGTTGCTTTACGCAGAGGGTCAATCGCCCGTGGAGGGCCAGCCGCATTTTGTCCCAGAAGGGGAGGGGCGGACTGGGATCTCTACTTGGGTGGAGGATCTTCTCGAAGCTCAGGTTGCATTGAGCTATCACTGGCTCCCAGCAGGGACCGAATGCGTATCTGAAATTTGGGGTGCAACATTACGCTGATGATTCTTATTCACGACATCCCCCCCCCCCCGCACTAAAAAAACTTATGAATTTTTCATTTTGACCTTTTCCTTGTACCTCGTGTTCTAAACGGACGCTTAAATGGGGTTGATTTACTTTTGGAAGTACTGCGCATCTTACTGCACATATTACGCATGCGCAATGCGTTGGGCGGGCTAAAACAACGAAGGGGAGGGGGGAAGATAAGAGATGGGAATTTTCACTAGTCGAGAGGCAACTGATATACGTGGATTTTATTCGCAAATATTTCCCGTAAGTTTTGATTCCTGTATTTTCTGTTTCTGAATATTTGTTTTCGAATATGTGCCATTTTCACCTCCGCGTATTATCTGGATCACGTGAGAAGTTCATGTCTAAGATTGTGTGGTATAACAATTTATCAGAATTTGAAAAATCGATTGGTTCAATTCAATTGTATTCTCTGTACTCTCTGAATTCTCTCTTGAACATAAATATAATACGTACCACTCACCAAGATGTTCTCCATTCATAATATAATTTACACTCTTCCCCCTCTCGTAAAAAAACCAATCGACTTTTCGTTCTAAAACCCTCCCTCCACCTCGTGTCCTAAACAAACTCAGGAATGGGCTGGATTCACTTTTGAAATAACTGCGCATCTTACTGCGCAGATCGCGCATGCGCAGTGTGTTGGGCGGGCCATAATGCGAGCAGGAGGGGAAACGGATGTAAAATTTCAACGAAAGACATAATTGAACAAATACTAATGAAATAAAAATCGCAGAGCCCTACCTGAAATTATCGATATCCCAATTGAGATCATGATAATACTTCAGCGAAGTCATTCCCCTCTCCACCACAATATCCTCCCAAGGAGCTCCAACCTTGATCCTAACGGTCCTCCTAGCCCTCGGAGGTGCGAGCATCTCGGCCCCAGCAAGCTTTCCCCAAATACTCAAGCCCTCCACCAGCAACAGGGGCTGAGGAAAGTCCCTCAGCTGCAACTTCCACTCCGTGCACTTGACAGCAATCCCCCTGACCCACAAAATGCCAAACTCAATGCCATCCTCAGGCCAAGGTGACTCCGAATCCATCTCAGCGATGGCAGCCGTTGCATTAGCCGTTCCATCAATGACAGGATCAGCAAGGGCTATGATCTCGAGGTCCTGCATGGTCCAGGCGAAGAGTCTAGTTCTCGCGGGGCCTGTTCTCTGCATCTGTCTCCACCTCTGCACGTATATCTCCGCGTTCTTCTTGTTGAGACTGGCGTAAAGTTCCTCGACCTTCCCCTGAGGCAACAGCAGATGAGCGCGACACAGTTCCTTGACTTTGGCATCCAACATCGCTTGACGCTTCAGGCTCTCCTTGTACTCGTCCTCCAGAAGTTCGTAGTTGTCCCTCAGACGAATCTCAAAGGGATCGTCGCTCACCTCGAACACCCACTCTTTAATCTTAATGACCAAATCACAAGGTAGCTTGTCACCCTTCTTCGATCCTGACGAATGAATCTCCTTCAGCCACTTTCTCAAACTGAACAGCTTGTTCTGAATGGCTTCGGCAAAGCAATGCTCGTAGGGAAAGCAAGCCTTCGCCGAGTCAATGCTCATTGCCCAAGTCTCGTTCCAGTCTAGCTTGAAGTCTTCGTTATTCTGCCTCTCCAATCTGACTTCCTCACTCTCCTTCAACTTCACGAATTCAAGCCCCTCGAGCGCTATAATGTCCACCATATCTAAAGATCCCTTCAAGAAACTGGACGTCCACTCCCCATTGCAACACCTGAGCTCCTCCGAGAACAGCTCAACGTAGTGATTCTGGACGTCGATGTCCACAGTTATTGTGATTCCCCCAGTTGCCAAGAAGTCGATTGTCCTCTTGGGCTTCTTCATTCCGTCGGCCTCCATCGAGGGACTGATGCTGAAGACCCTCCTGAAGTTGGAGGACTCCCTCCAGAGTTGAAGCACTCGAAGGTGGAGGTTTGGACTCCAGACTAGACTAGATGCATTCACACTGATGTTGATGGCTCCCGAAGTTACTGCACCCTTGCACTTTCTGATGGAGAGGAAGGGCTCTTTGAGATGTTCCGCGTGCTCACAAACGATCGGTTCATTTCGGTTTAGGGTTATAGCAGAGACTCCTTCAGCCACTCCGACGAACCTCTCCTTCACGTTGTGCTCGATATTCGCGAAGTCCAGTCTTGCCATCACTGAGAGACCACTCTCGGAGATGAGGAAGATGTTACAGTTGGAGACTTTGATCTTCAGCTGAAGAATCTTCTCTTTTTCTTGTTTTTTGACTGTTGGCTTTTCATCGGGCGATTTGGAGGCACTTCCCACGAAGATTGGAGGCTGTTTCCAGTGGTCGTTCATGTATTTTAAGGACTGCTGCAGGAATCTTCCGAGTTCTAGACTCCACTCGGCTCGCAATGCATCCATGGCTATTCCCACGGCGTTCTTGTGAGTTGTGGCGACTAAAACACCGACTGAAAGGGGATTCCCCCAGTTGTGGGTAGTCTTGGGAATCCCAGGGTCTTGACCGTTTAAGGTGCATCTCAGGGACTCGATTAAGAGCTTTGTCGTCCAGTCGTGGGGATCTGAACCCAGTCGATTCAGCTCTAGGTTTATTTGGAACAGTCCGAGGGAGGCTTCCGGCACGTCCGGCAGGCGGACTATGAGGGAGCCGTCTTGAAGGTCTGTTGTCGTCTTGATCTTCTGGATCCAGGGGAATTTCGAGTGCGAGGGAACCCTGGACGTGGGGATGGTGGGGCGGTTCGTCGAGAGGAGGGACTCCCAGTCGCGGTGGTCGTAGGTGAGGGAGAGGTTGGTCAGGCGGGTGTCTATTCTGAGGACGTTCTCTTTGAATTTTGAGGAGACGGAGAGGGAGTGCAGGGAGAGGACTGGGAGCTTCCCCCGGACGGAGAGACCCTCGAGGTTTATGGTTAGGTTGGTTTGAGGGGTCTCTGGGGAGAATGTCATGTTCACGAGGAGATTTTTCATTGTGCCCTCGAGACCCGTGAGGGAGGGGTCCTCGCGACCGACTATTATTGAGGAACTACCGATCTTCATTGAGAGGTCCTGCAAGAAGATGGGAGAGATTTTTTTTGAATAGTTGAGTGGAAAAGGGTTGATGGGGACATTAGAGGATTTGGTGAGGGGAGATTTATTCAAAATCAAGTGTCTTTCTGTCGGAAAAACATCCGAATTGAATTCTAAAAGATAATCCGATATTGATGAGTGGGGTGCCCCTTAAGGTGTTTCGTGTGTAGATCACTGGGGGTGAAACTGACTATTTAAGTGGGCATTGTAAACATTTTTTGAATATTGATCTTATTTATCAGATTGATTGATTTTTTTGTCATCACCTACGAGTGTCAAATAATTTGTAGTGGATGTTATTATAATTGTTGAAATAATATTAAAATGCGTCTCAGATTAGTAAACCTGTCGAGTGTTTTCTCTCTCTCAGTTTCATGACCCAACCCATACCTTTCCCATGATACTCACTAACATTCGAATCACGCGCCTGCGTGGGAGGGCGTAATTGCCCCGACCTCATAATTTTTCGAATCATTTGTTCAAATAACTTTCTTATGAAATCTGAAAAAAATCTGAAACTTATACGTGTTCTCAAGAAAGATTTAATTTATCACCCACTAGTTTTTCCTCAATAGTTCATTATTTTTTCGGGTTCCATGGAAATTTCCCGAATGGAGAGTGAGGTAACCTCGGAGGTTATAGCTGGAGGGCTTATAAGAACATCCAAATTTCATTATTTTCTTTCTTGATAATGAGATCTGAAAAAAATGTGCAAAAATTCTCAATGATACAGCATACTCAGACATTTCTCCTCTGAATTTTCCAATTGTTTTTCATTATTTTGACTTTTCACACGAAACACCTTAACCATTCGAAAACTGGTGCCACCACAGTATCCGTGATGAGTTATGATTTCTTCATTCTTTGCTTGCTTCTTAACCCCTCACGGACGGGGCCCTTTTGTTTTCAAGCCTGGAGTACGCTCGATACAACTAGAACGTAATGACTTCTAACCAACGGAAAATTATGAAGCCGATATGTAATTGAAGCTGCAGTATTCCTTTTTTTGTTGCTATTTGTTGGTTGAGTTAAATTCCATAGTTTTGGAAATAATCAATTTTAAAGAGTCGTTCATGTTTTCATGGGTCGATGCATGGCAGCGACCTACGGGGTTAATGTCGCTGCCATGCATCGTGAGGGGTTAATGTCTTTCTTTCGAATAATGTGCCACGTTCGTAGCCTCATATCACCTATATGACATGAGGAATTCATGCAACTGACTAGACCATGATTCAACCCCACCCTGTCCTCTTTACCTTCGGTATGATCGGTGTGAACCTAGCCAACAGTTCCTCCGAACACCCTCTATCCTCCGCCCTCTCGACAGACGCTCCCGTCGCCACCGACTTCCTGTCCCTAACAAACTGGATCAATGCTAGCCCTCCAGACCCCTCACACTGTGTCACTCCAACATTCAACTTCTACAAAAACATTGTTTGCAAAGAAAAAATCAGCATGCTTGCTAGCTGCATCCAGTGCGTCAATACCCTCTCTACATGTGCAGAAGAACATTAATTTATCTTTTTTAAAATCAATCGCACCTCAACTGTGAGTGCGCCCTGCGCCTGAATGGTGGCCTCGACATTCCCAGCGAAGCTCATCTGGGAGAGACAAGCATCAGAGGCATGACGAAGGAGCTTCATAGCCCCTCCAGCAACAGTTGCTGCCACCAGGAGGGTCCGCGCCCCGTGGACAACGCTCCCATCGAGACTGAGACTCTCGGCGCTGCCGTTCGCCAGCCAGCCGTCCCCCAGGGCCAGAAGGTTCAGATTCTCGATGTGAACCGCCATGAACTGGACGAAGGTGATGATCATCGGGGGGACTTTTCTGTTCCTGAAGTCCAGGGGAGTGGATTCCTTCAGGTCCTTTTGGTCTGTTCTTGAAGGACACACTGGCACGTCCTTGTTGATCCTCACGTCATGCATCATAACTGCCAGGAGCTTGGCTACATCGCTGCTGAACAAGCTACTCCTCACTGTTATCTGCTCGATCTCCACTGTAAAGCCATTCTTCGAGATTATCACGTCTCGGAGGATGAAGTAGGGGAGCGAGATGTGACCCACACGGAGATGGATTTTGTATCGTCGTTTTACGAGCCAGGCAACGGCTCTTGGGAGAATCCTGTCGAGGATTAGGTGGAGTTAATTTCGTTTGAGATAGGGATTTTGGGAAATTCAGTAGCGAATTTTCATTCATTCGTATTGCTGAGACTGAAATTCAAAACTAAATATTAATTGCTATACACTGAGAGAAAAACAAACACGTTGTCAAACAAGTCTTGTTTGGGCCAACAAAATCGCTAGTTGATAATTGCCAAAAAGGAATTTCTTTGGTTCGAATTTGAAAGTTTCAAACGTGAATAATTCGTCTCGAGAGGCGGATAATTCGCACCAAACGGCGCCTTTTCAGGATGAAAATATCTCATACAGAGGAAAATTTATCAACTAATATTTTATCCCTAAGTTACAAGATTCCTATCATATCGTTATTATCGGTTCATTTAAGGGTTCATTAGACAGCCGAAACGAAAAACTACTATCCCTTGTTTCGCATAAAACAAAGACTTTTTGGAAGTAAAATACATATGGGAGTATCGAATAACGAAGGAGTAGTGCTAGAAATGACATTTCTTGCGTCTACAGAGAATGCAATTTTTTTTTAACTACTAGATTAGTCCGCGCGCTTCACGCGCGTATTTCCTATGCCATGGGGCATAATGTATGTCAACTATAGTGAATAATCTTGTATTAGATTTCTGAAGATAATATCAAAGTTTCCGAAGGAAAAGTTTCAGGAATGTATTCTATTTTTTTATAATATAATACATCCAGTGTGATTTTTTTTTAAGCCAATCTATTCGGCGTATTGTGTCATTACATTTTTTGTAAATGATGATAGCATACATTAAAGATATTACGATAATACTATACTATATTATATATAGGGGAGGGTGGGGTAAAATGGACACTTCCGACTTTGTTAAAATTATTCATAACTCAAAAACAAATTTATCAACTGAGCTCAGCTTAGGCCCGCCACAAAGGGAAAGAATTGTTCTTTGTATTGAAAGAAAAAAGATTAAATTTCATCGCCATTTCAACCCCTCATTAACATTTTAAAAAAGTCAAGTGTCCGTTTTACCCCAACCTCCTCTACTATATATAATATACAATATATAATAGAATACTATATGTATCATAGAATATACTATGCATAATAAAAAATGAAATAATAAACTGATAATAGCATAGAATATAATATAATAAAGTATTATCGCAATATCTTTAATGTATACTATCATCATTCATGAAAAATCTAATGACACAATAGGCCGAATAAATTGGCTTCAAAAAACGTTACACTGGATTTTTGATTGAAGTACTAAATCTTCTATTGCCACAAAAAAATCCTTTACGATTTTGGATAAACATTCTTATGAAAATTTAGAAAAAAAAATAATAAGGAAGACCGCGCAAAAATGTGAGCGATTACAAAGCTTCTATTCAAAAGCAAAAGCCTCTCTATCTATTTATCTTCAACATCCTCAGTAATAAAAAAAAGTAAACAACGAGTATTACCATGTGAAGCTGGTGTAGATGACTAGACAGACCAGTAATATCAGAAATAGTGGAGTCATACTGCAATTTCATATCTAACCTTAAAAAAAATGAAAAATTGATTAGAAAATAATCAACAACTGCGCGAGATCATTCACTGATTCTCAAAGTGTAATTGTTGATCACTTTGTTGTTGATGTGAGTCTCGAGGGCGTGCGATAGGACGAGCAAAACAAAACAAAAACATTTATTACCGCAGCACAAGTAATTTTGATCCTAATTGGGTGGGAGTTTACACTACGTCATGGCTCCGAGTGCTCCGAGTGGATGTGTGAGTCAATCGCTGCATTCTGTGGGTTAGAAAATAGGAAATTCACGAGTGAAGATGAGTGAAACTGAGGCGAATGAGAGTGTCAGTGAAACAGGCGCCGAGAGGACGAGTGAGAGTGATGAATCCAGGGAAAAGATTTGGAAGAATGAGTGGATGGTACGTGATTCGTGAATTCTGAGGGGTTTCCTGTGGTTTTGGAGGTTATGCCTGGATTATCGTTTCTTTTTGTTCACCAGGTTTTTATACAGAAAGTGTCATTGTTTACAGTATTTACATAACTTAAAAAATGGCATAAAAAATTTTTTATGTGGCGTTTATTTTTATATAACAGTATTTTTTATTTTTGTTTCTGCATTTTTATCTACAATCGGTATTGGATGTTGTTGCTATTATGCAAGAAGCCGATGAGAGATTCTCTCATCGCGCGCCTCAAGAATACTGGTGGAACCGCGCACCCACTGACGGGTTAAAAAAAAATTTACAAACACTTTAAAGTGGTATGACCAAACTCCAGTTGAGTCGTTGGGAAAAGTAAATTCAAAAAGCCAAAAAGAAAATTGTTCATCATTGATGATTTTTCCCATGAATTCTAAGTTTGAAAGGTGTAAGAAATTCATCCATCAGATTCTTTCTTCAATTATTTTTTTAAGACTCGGGTGGATTATCTTTCGAACGTGATGTTGGTTGTTTTTTTTACTTTGATAATCTGAAATGATCTCCAATTCAGTAGCGAAGCGGTAAACTTTTCATACGTTGAAGATCGATTATATAGATCTGGAAACGAATAATTAGTGCAAAAAAAATTTTTTTTATTGTTCGTTTGCCCGAAAACGCTCGTTTTCGGGCAAATTGCAGGGCCTGCAATTTTTGAGCTACAAAAGATTTTTTTTTCAAAATTTTCGGAAAAATATGCGGAACAACAGTTATGAGCCAGTTTTTTGGAATTCGACTCCTACACAGCTAATTTCGTTTTTCTTTTTCATATAAAAAATTCACTATTTGTGTAAAAAAATACAAAAAAGAAAATTTAGCCAAGTAAGAGGCGAATTAAAAAAACTAGCTCGGGTAATTGTTATTCCACATACTTTTCCGAAAATTTGAAAAAAAAAATCCTTCCTAGCTCAAAAATTAGAGGCCCTGGACTGTTTTTGGCATTTTAGACGTTTTTAAGTAAACGAATAAAAAAAAATTTTTTTTTGCACTAATTATTTATTTTCAGATCTATATAATCGATCTTCAACGTACAAAAAGTCTCACTCCAATAACCCACGACTTTTAAAACTCATAGTAGTGTCTCAAGTCGATTTTGATTATTGGCCAGTTTTTGATAATTCATTCTCGTAATTCGATATAATGAAAAAATAATCCTGTATGTTTTCTCTACTTTCGTAATTATCAATTGTCAGTGATCTGGACCCACAATTACCGGTTTTAGCTGAGGCCCTGTGACATGTACTACTCGGAGTACAAGGTTTGTGACTCTCTCAGGGGGAAGTTTAACCAGCTTTTCGTTGAGGGACAGGTTCTTGACTGCAGCCAGTGGAAGGTGGATTATGAAAACTGTACCAAGTGGAAGAAATCGGATGATGAACAGGCTTATGTAAGTGTTTTTTGCTTCCGAACGGAAGCCTTGTTTTTAACCGTTTTTTCAATTTTGTAATTTTAATTGCAAATCGTCTAGAATGTTATGGAACGTAAAGAAATGATGTTTTTAGGGTCATGTCTGCATGTATCCAACAACTTGGATTTTTGGTGATTAATTGTTAGAAAATTCAACATAAATACGGTGCAATTTGTAGATAGTGGAGGTTGGGGTAAAACGGATACTTTTGACTGTTTTAAAATGTTAATGAGGGGTTGAAATGTTGATAAAATTTAATAATTTTTTTTTTCAATATAAAGAACAATTCTTTCCCTTTGTGGCGAGCCTAAACTGAGCTCAATTGATAAACTTGCTTCTGAGTTATGAATAATTTTTAAAAAGTCTAAAGTGTCCATTTTACCCCACCCTCCCCTAAAAATCGGAAATTTTGGCAAATTGTGGCTATCATTGAGCTCAACTTTGGCGTGTTGTTCCAGCCCGATCGGTCCAGTAGTTCCTGAGATATAACAACTCGTTTAAATTTCGTTTTTCCTCAATATCTCAAAAACTACTGCACTGATTTCAATTTTTTCTTTTAAAATACTCATCTCGGCAGCCACCATCTGGATCAATGAAAATATATATATCCGTCCATGTCAATCTACCGTAAGACATTTTTTCAAAATCCATTCATTCCCAAGATAATGAAATGTTAGATAAATTAAGTATAGCTGTATAAACTTATTTTTTGCTGTGCTGAATAAAGAATGAATGAACTAATTAAATATTAGATATCAGATAAATCTTGGAACTTGATAAAAATCAATTATCGATTATCAAAATTGTCAATTTATGAATAAACATTACCTGATTCCATTTCATTTTACCCCAGAATTCAGTAGCGAAGTGTTGAAACGGTTTCAATCAATTTTGATTATTGGCCAGTTTTCAATGAATATCTTGCAATCTAAAGGAGATAGCAAAATTCCTATGGACTTTTTTGTAGAGCCGATTGAGACCTGCAACAAATGTAATTACGATAATTTCGCTATCTCCCTTAGATTCGGAAATATTCCTCAAACACTCAAGTGGGAGATAAGTCGATTTAAGATCCGGGTGTACAATCTTTCGAATGTTACCTATCTGGATTTTTTTCTTTCTTTCGTAATCCAAAATTGTCAATTGAGTGGTGCATCATGTAGAAATTCCCAAAAATTATGATAGAATGATAAAAAAAAAAATAAAAAATTCCGAACTTTTTCAAAGAGCGTTTTTAATTGAGATTCAGAATGAGTTGAGAAAAGTGTAAATTACAAATATCTGATTTGCTGTGGCAAATTATCTATTAGCTGTCATTTTCCATGGTGGAAAAACACTAACTCCTCATGGGAAGTGACAGCTAGGTATCTCAATTTTCAAAACAGTGGTATGTAGTCATCTGCCATTTTTATGTGATAAAAGTGTGATTAAAAAATTCTCCAAAATATTACAACTTTTTTCAAAGAGCCTTTTCCGTATAATAAATGTCTCTGTGCAGTGTGGGAAAAGATTTACGAAATGAGTCTTTCCCCTGCATGATATTGGGTGACAAGGCGCCATTTGTCACCGTAAATCAGATACATTTTTCAATTTCTTGTTATTCAACTTATTCTGAATATAAATTAAAAGTACTCTTTAAAAAAATTAAAAATTTTTTTTACTTTTATTTGATTACTCATTCATAATTTTTCAAAACTTCTGCATGATGCAGGACTTAATTGACAATTTCAGATACCGAAAGAAAAAAAAACATCGAGATAACGTTCGAAAGATGGTACACCCGGGCTTTAAACGGTTTTACCACTTCGCTACTGAATTGTTTTCATTTGCATTCAACATAAAAATATTCTCATGTTTTCCATATTCCCTTGATTAACTCTTTCACCGAAATCCGACAGGAGGACCTCCTGACTAGTGAAAAAGCCCGCAGACGAGAGAGACTGAAACCGCATTATTTGAATGACGTGTGGACAAGGAGAGAAGCACCTCCAGCAGACTGGAATGCACCCCTACCCCAGTGGATAGTGAAACGTGACGGGGGAACCTTCCTCGCGGGGAAGCAACAGGAGATGAACACAACTGGAGATAGAGAAATGGAATTATATATACCTTCATGTACAATACTTTAGCAGTAAATAGATGAAACCGTATTCTCTTGAATTCACTGTTATTCCCTCGACAAACTATATCCATAGTTAATTATATTCCCACAGTAATTAACCATTACTATTATTGTTGGTTTAAAGGTTTAAAGTAGCTCTACCCTTCGGCCGAGCTACGCTGTACTTTTGGATATTTCCAATTTTTAAATTTTTCAACTAAATTGTATGGAAAAAATTGAAAAAATTCATACCCAGTCAGTATTATCTAAATTAAATTTCGCAGAATATTGATATTTTTTCAAACATTTCCCTCTTATAAACAAATAATAAAACTTGTTTGCAAAACGGTGGATTATTCTTTATGAGGTGTCAAAAAAATTCTAGATTTTTCCACGTCTGATGAAAAAAAATTCAGATTTTAATCTTTGATTACAATGGAAATGTTGATTTTCACATAAGACACTGGGTTAAATCCTGATTTTTAAACATTTCTTCTTTGAAAAACCAAAACGATAATTAAATTGAGAAAAAAAGTAGAATTCCGAATCTAATCGAGTTTTCTGCAATTTTTTTGCAGTTTTCAATAATCTTTGAATTTACCGTAAAGGTAGAGCTACTTTAAAGAACTTAGTCAAAACAACTTGAACGATTACACACCAAAAACTTGAAAAAAACTTTTAAAAAATCCGGGAAAATAATGCAAAAAACACGACAATAGAGCAATGAATACCCACGAACGAAAATAACAAAATAAAATAAAAACACACGAAGCACATTATTAAATTTGCAGACATTGTCTCCCGAGTAAACAACATTGAGTCTCAATAACAAGTGATTTGACACAAATTCATAAGCACGACGAAATAAATAACACAACAATTCATATCCACAACACTACAAAGTATAACAAATGATGAGTCATTTAAAGGACAATGGACGGGAGAATAATTAGGGTGAGCATGTCTTGAAGAAAAAATGTGGTAAAAAAAGGTGAGAAAAAAATGGCACGAGGAAATTTTGGGGGGCAAGTTTCGTCGGGGAATTATTTCAATAGCGAAGTGGAAAAACGGTTTGAGTCGATTTTGACTATTTCCCAGTTTTCAATGAATATTTCAGAACCTAAGAGAGATAGCAAAAATTTTGACAAGATCTGTTTGAAACATAGTCATCATTCTATCAGTTCAGCGGGGAATTAAGTCGGTAATCTTCTAAATCAATCAGGACCCTTCGGGTCAACAGTCAAGAGTCAGCGAATCACCTGGAAAGGACAGTAGTACGACATAGTCAGTCAGTTAGAGTACTCGCTCGGCAGTTCAACAGCCATGTAATAAATTATCAACTCAGTTATTAGTTCAGTCCATCCACTCAGTAGAAATGTTGAATATCAAAAATAGAGTCAAATCAACGTAGATTTAGTGAATTAACAAGTATTATAGTTTCTCAACGAGTTAAGTACATCAGCAGTGAACTATCGAAACATTAGAGTAGGATCAACGGAAGGCGCGTGTCGACGCGTCTCTCAACGTGTACAGTTCCTCACCATTTGAGTTAGATTCAATCGTTACAGCAATTATCGATAGACATTTATCAAAGACATTTAATAGTGACTCAACAGTGAATTATCAATTTAGACAATGTCTATTCATTTGAGAATCTCAACGAACTAAATTTGAGTGACAAGTGTATAAGGTGTATATAGTAATTTACGACGTGGTTCGATCCCCCAAATAAACTGTGATTTTATGAAACAGTGTTAGAATTCATTTTCCGGCCTCACCCTTGATGACACCCCCACAACCACCCTAAACCTAGCTCCTCACCAAACAGATCTTTTCTATAGCACTCAATTCGCTCTACAAAAAAGACTATTACAAAAATTGCGTTATGTCCTTTAGATTCGGAGATATTCCTTAAACCTCAGATGAGAGCTAAGTCGACTCAAAGGCTAACAGAAGGCTACCGTTTTCCTCGAAATTTTCAAACAAATTTCCTGCTCAAAGTTATCAATATTTTTTAACCCAAAGCACATTGATCTTCATCATCGCTTCCTGCAGATTAATGTGCTTGGATTAGTAAAAGTATCGATAACTTTCAGCACGAAATTTGTTCAAAAAATTGGAAAATTAGGCATTCCATTACCTCTTAAACCGTTTTACCACTTCGCTACTGATTTGAAAAAATGTAAAAAGTTCAAGATATTTATAATAATTCCATACTTATATCTTGTTTTTGTGTTTCTCTGTCGCCTGTTTAATGACTTATGTCATGTTTACTTTGTACAACATAATGCACAATTAATAAACCTCAATCAATTAATCAATCGTCTCTTTCTTATAATTACTCGTTATTCTTTTATCTTCGTTCATAGTCTGCGGACGTGTCACTCCTTTTCATATTTCTTTTCATTATTTACTTCGCCCCAAATTCTTGTACTAAACATTTATTCTCAATTAAACGGCTTATATTTAACAAAATTTTCGTTAGAATGCAACATATTCTTCATTATGTTATAAATTCAATGAACTAAAAAAGCTTGAACTGCTATCCTAAAATAAAACTCTCCAAACATAATATAAACTTTATTTATTCAATATTTCATACTGTCTTGAATTTATCATAATAATATTAATAATTATAAAGGTATCACATTAAATTAAAAAAAAAAACGTGCTGTACATACACAAGAGGAAATGAAAGAAAAACGTAACGTTGATGGATATACAATGCGTTACGCTTTCTCATTATTCTTTTTTTCTCTTCAATTAAATTCTGTCAATTTCTCGAATGCACTTGTCCAATAATAGGAACGCACAAATAAATAATGAATTTTTCGTTCTCTTTTTTTCTCATTACCATTAAACCTCGACTCCCACCCCTTTTTCTCTCGCTCTTTCAACAGCAGAGGACAAAAATCGGACATGATTAATTATCGAGTATGTAATGCACATGATGATATCAGTAATTAAGAAAACAAATGCATAAGGTAAGGGATAATATGATAACTATGATCTCATCGCCTTTGTCAGAGGTTTTTATCAATATTTTTTTTTTCGTACTTTCATTTTTTTTTCTCTTCTGTCACTGGTGATACCTGTGTGATGTCATCCATCATACATCTGGGTCTATCATTACAAAGCCATAAAAAAGGAAAATTAAAACGTTTTAGAGTAATGAATTGAACGAGTCGTTAATGAAATTTTAAAAAAGAAAAGGAAAACAGCAGTTTATTCGTCAGCCCACGCTAGCGAGCACCATGATATTGATTCGATTTATTCGTCAAGAAAATGTTTTTTTTCGCGGCATTCATGTAAAAAATGTACTACAATTAATATTTATGCTTTTATCGATAATGACGAAAAGGCATTTTGATTATTTACACAATAACAGAGCAAAATTTGCAAGCGTTGTTCGAGTATAAAATTCCTAAGCTCTCCTGGTTCTCTCGTTATATGGAGATATTAAGAAATGAAAAATCGACGCAGTCAATTGAAAAATATGTGGTGGGGGGACCCTGGAGGAGCTGGTGGAACGCGATCGAATTGATCATTTTTTCATGTGATTAGTTTTAGAATTGTTGAAGACTTTTTTTCTCAGGAAATTTGAAAAGAAAGTTTTTGAGATTATTAGACGATTGTGAAGGGGAATTGGAAAATTTGATTGAAGAATTTTTGGTGATTGTTGAGTTATTTTAATTGTGAGTGGATTTAGAGAAAATGTTGAGAAACCATTTTTGAAGGAAATTTAATTCTCGAGAAAAAATATTTCTCGACTTTTTTCTCTAAAATCACCTTTTCTTGAGGTAATCACGGAATTAGAAAAAGGGAAAATGTGACACTTCATGTTCCAATACTTTTGTTGATAGTCAATTGATCTCTAAAAAGAGTCACTCTGTATGGAAATATCGAGGGACATTTGGAAAATAATAATCACAAAATTCTCTGCAATTCTGTAGATAAATTCAGAATGAATTTCCAGATTTACTTTGTAATCGTCTGCAATGTTTCTAGATGAAAACATAAAGAGAAATGTTCTGAATAATAGTCAATAAATTATCTACAAAAAATTCTGAAAATTACCCGTAAAATCACTCATCCCCCAGATAAATCGTCAACCCTCAAAAACCCTGAAATTCCTTCATAACTTCCGCAAGAAAATTCTCCAATAAATTCCGTTTTATTTTTCAATTCATGAAAATTCGTGACTTCATTTCTAAAACAAATCATTCCACATAAAAATATCAGGACAATTTTCCACACAATAACCACCGAATCCTTTACAAAAAAAAATCTCTCGACATTATCCACAAATCACCAGCTGTCAAGCTGAATCCACAACCTTCAGAAAATCCTCCCTTCCCTCATAATCTCTCCACGACAATTCAAAAATAAATTCCGATTTATTTTACAATTCACAAAAATTCATAACTTCATCTTTAAAACGAATAATTCAACCGAAAATATCAATCGACATGATCCCCAAAATAATCAAAAAAAACTTTCACATTTTTCTAAAACCCAAGAATTGGAATTCCCAAGACGACTCTACAGTCCCCAAAAGCTCTCAAAACTCTTCCTCCCAATTTTCTCACCCCAACTTCCCCCTAAATTCCGCGCATAGCTTTCCAATTCATCAGCCTTCCACTCCCCCAAAAATGTAATCTCCAAAAAGCCCCTCCCCATTTCCATCCCCTAAAACCCCATCAAGCCCCCCTCAGTCCACCACTTCCCCCGAGGCCCTCCAGAATCGCCAAAAAATCCCCCAGGTCCTCACCCAAGCCCAAGACGAAACAAACCTCCAACCTCTCACAAATAAAAAACATCAAAAGCATTCCTCCTTATTCCCAACTATTCCGCAGTGATGATGAGCTGATTGTCGTTGGACACTTCAACAGGCGAGACATCCTTCTGTGGCACGTCTTCCTCGATCTTCACCTCCTCCTCGACCTTCTTGACATCACAAACCCCATTCTGCAATTTAGCCTTGACAGGTGTCCTGGAGGCAGTCTTTCCATTGACAGCAGTAGCAGTTGGTTTTCCACTGGTCCTGGTGGCCCCAGGTTTCTTGGCCCCGGCACCAGCAACTGTTGTCGTAGTGACACGTCTGGCAGAGGCAGCAGCCGATATAGTGGTCGTCTTCTTAACACTGGAGGCAGTGATGGAGATACGACTGGAGGATATCTGTTTATTCGCAGTTTCCTTGATCTGTTTATCGATAACTGGGGGTTTAGCAGCAACTGAAATTCTAGTTTTACTCGTTAATGTCCCTGTAGTGCTGGTGGAAGGTGCTGTCTTGGGCCTCTGGGGTTTAGCGGCCACTCCAGCTCCAGTAGCAGCTCCAGTCGACGTTTTGACAGACGTCAAAGGTACTTTAGGTTTTGGAGGAGCTGTCGTGGGTCTAGTGGCCCCAACAGACGGTTTAACAGGTGGTTTACTGCTGGCCATCTTGGGTTTAGCTGTCTTCACGTCTCCATTAACAACCCCTGGAGGTTTTTTATCAGTGACTGATGTCTTTGTTGCTGTGAGTCTAGAAGCACCAGTCGTTGATTTTGGTTTTGGTGGGATTGGAGCGATTCTTGGAGTTGGTGCTTTTGCTGGTGGTTTCGATGGTTTTGGAACTGTTGCTGCTGATGTTGGGGGCTTTGTTGCTGGACGTGGAGATGTTTTTTTCGTTGCTGGAGCTGATGGACGTGGGGAGAGCTTGTTTGGAGATGTTGGTAAGGCTTTTGGAGCGGATTTTACATCTGATTTTACCGTTTTCGTTGGGGGCTTTGATAGGGCTTTCGTTGTTGCTGAGGTTTTAGGCTTGGCTGGGGTTTTATCTTTCTCAGGTTCTTTTTCAGGTGCAGCTGGAGCTATCACTGGAGTCACTGGAGTCACTGGAGCCTCTGTAACTGGTGGTTCAATCTCAGCAACTGAAACTTGTTCCTGTTTAGGCTCAAGTGGTTCAGCACTGACTTCAATCTGAGGTTTATCAGACTGTTGGACAATGGATTCAGGACTGGAGGCAATCACATCAGTAACAGCCCTCAAATCCTCGGCAACTGGGGTCTCAACACCTGAATCTTTCTCCAGTGGATTGAATTGCTCCTCGAGGCCAGTGAATTCTTGGAGGGATTCGGATAATTTTATAGCTACTGGCTCCTCTGGAGGTGATGATTTGTCCTCAGTTGTGCTGATTAAGTCCTCATGATGGATTAAATGATCATCAGGTGCGTCTGATACTGGGGATGTTGCTCCAGCTAGGGGATCCACATCCATTGTTTCTTGCTTTGGACTTGAAATCTCTGGTTCTTTAGGCAAACTACAGGTGATTAAATCCTGATGCGTTTCTTCGGTTGATGAGGAGACGAAGGGATTCTGGCTTGGGGGGTCGCAGGACATGAGGTCAAAGGTCTCAGGAACCTCCAGGGGGCTTTCCGTCACCCCCAGCGGACTCTCCACCTCCAAGGGGCTCTCCCTCACCTCTAGGGGACTCTCCCTCACCTCCAGGGGGCTGTCCCTCACTTCCAGGGGGCTCTCCCTCAATTCCAGGAGCCCCTCAGGTTCAATTGACTCTGGACTCTCGACTTTAGTCTCAATACTTTGTTCTTCGTAAACTAGTGGCAATTCTCCTCCATTCGATGGACAAGCCAATTCCTCTTGATTCGTGTTCTTCAGGTTCATAGCCTCTACCTCTTGCTCAATCCTCTCCTCCATCTGCTGCTCCAGGGTCATATTCCCGAACATATCGTTCATCTGGTGATGTAAAATGAATGGTTCAATATTTTCTTGTGAAATTGTCGAAATAATTGGACATTCAACAAATTGAGATTTTACAAATGATTAAAAATCACAAATAATTAATGGATGAATTATTTTAGTAATAAGTGACTCCGGGAGAAAAATCAGGATTTTTTTTGTACAGAGTTTCGTCAACTGAAAAAAGTTAATTGGAGATTTTCGTATTTTAGAATGAGTCATTCTTTTAAAAAATAGAGAATAGAGAATATTTCGTCAGTTGTTATGATGTTTTCTTCGAGAATAAGTGATTATCAAAGACAATTACATGCTAGAAAAATGTAAATCCTACAAAAATTATGAAATTGTTCATTTCTGAATTATCCCAATAACGAGTGACACTAGGAAAAAAAACAAGACTTTTTTTAAAAATAATTTTCTCAGCTACAGAATAAAACTCTTGAAACATTAATTTCAATTAAATTTGTTCATGTTCATTGATTTTCCTATTTTAAAGTCATCAATTTTTGGAATTATCACCATAATGAGTGATTCAACTGGAACAATCAGAAAACATTTTTTTTCTCTAATTTCGTTATTTTGACATTTTCTCCTAGAATGACTCATTATCCAGAAAAATTACGTTAAAAAAATTCCAAATTTCAAAAAATTATCAAATTTAATTACTGAATAATCTCCATAATGATTTTTGGACAAATTGTCAAGAGATTATCATTAAAAATATTCAGCTTCAGCGTCACATCCCCAAGCCCATGATTTACCTGGTGATCAGGGAAGGCATCTGATGGTTTTGGCTGATCCGAGTCAGGTGAGATGAGATCAGCCAGTTCAGGATGGACATCATTGTCTCGTTCCTCGTCCTGAAGCCCTGTGCTATTGCCATCAGCCAGTAGATCGGCATCTGTCAGATCATGTACAGCATTGAGATCCACTGGATTACTGTTCAGTGGATTGAAGTCACCAGGACCAAATGACATGATCATCGGATCATTTTCGAAGGCTGAACATGAACTGGTGAATGATCCATCGAGTCCAGGATTCCTGTGGTAGTCTGGATTTGTCAAAAAACTCGCTGTTGACTCATCACCAAATTCAGCCTTTGTCGAGGAGACTTCGGACTCGTCGAGACAGAAAATTGGCTTCACCTTCTCCTGATCCATCTTCTCGTCTAGGGGATCACCATTCTGGGGGGAGACAATTTTTCCCTCTATTTCACTCGGACGGTGGCTCACCTCCTCCTGAAATTCGCTGGGACTGGGCACTCGGATGTCGTCCATCATTGGGGTCTGTTTCAGGGGTGAACCGGAAATTGGTAGGTCCAGTATGCGAGTGGGAAGTGTTGGGGCTGGCGACACTGGGATGAATTCTGCGGCGTTGGGGTTTAACTGGAAGTCCATTTCTTCGGGGGATAATTGGTGGAGTTCTGATGGCTCCGGGGAGGGGGGGAGGTTTATCGCTGGGGGTTGCTCTCGAATCTGTAGAAGAAAATGCACATTTGTAATTGAGAAATTTATTTTTAATTAACAAAAATGAGAGTTTCATAGGAGACGATGAATAAATGAAGGTCATTTTTGTACGGAAATGCCTTGATGCTTCCTTCCAAATTTCCTCATTTTCAGATAAAAAGATAATTAACAGAAATTTTCAAATGAAATTCAACAGGAAGTGTTTATTCATATTTTTTTTCACCTGAGGAAAAAAACCTCCTAAAAGGAAAAAACACCCCAAAATGGCGTTGATTGAATGAATTTAACTGTATACCTATATATTACATATTTTTTCGATACATAATCGAAGCCGTTTTGGGGTGGTTTGACCAAATTTGCGGAATTTCGAAAAGAAAAAATTGAAAAGAAAATAGATCCAGGAGGTTTCCCAACTTGTATGACGGCTCAAAATACTTGTTTTGAGACTTGTTATAAGAATTACTGAAAAAAAATGAAACAATTCAAAAGTGACACAACTTGCAAAATTCAACTTTTTCAACTTTTTTTTTTTTGAAAATTCGTTATTATGAGCATCTAGGAATTGAAAAAAAAATTTACTGGAAATACTCGTATAGGCGGTAAAAAATGGAAAATTTTGACGCTTAATAAATCAAAATCGGACAAATAGAATTCGAGTTATTGGAAACAATCTGAAAAATATAAAAAAATTCCATATCTCTGAACTGGGCGGCCGAAAAAATTCGAAAAAATTTGAGAGATAGTTTTTCACCCCCCCCCCCC